GGGCCTAGGGTTTGGGGCCTTAGGTTTAGGGCCTAGGGTTTGGGGCCTTAGGTTTAGTGCCTAGGGTTTAGGGCCTTACGTTTAGGGCCTAGGGTTTAGGGCCTAGGGTTTAGGGCCTAGGGTTTGGGGCCTTAGGTTGAGGGCCTAGGGTTTGGGGCCTTAGGTTTAGGGCCTGGGGTTTAGGGCCTTACGTTTAGGGCCTAGGGTTTAGGGCCTTAGGTTTAGGGCCTAGGGTTTAGATGTATGTATATACTTGTGTATGTATGTATGTTTGTATGTATGCATGTATATGTATGTATGTTTGTATGTATGTATGTATGTATGTACATGTGTGTGTGGGTGTGCAGGTGTGTATGTTCGTATGTGTAGGTGTTTATGTGTGTGTGTCTGTGTGTGTATGCATGTGCTTATGTATGTATGCATGTATGGATGTATCTGCCTATGTATGTATGTATGTATATATGTATGTATGTATGTACCTATGTATGTACTCATTTACACACACATACAAATGTATACATAATTGCGCATACGTATATACATGCATGTGTATATATTTATAGGTGCGTATATATAGATATATATGAAGATACACAAACATGTCTGTATATATATATATATGTATACATGTCTGTATCTATATATATTGTTTGTGTATGTATATACATACACATGTATGTATATACGTGTGTGTCTACCTATATGTAATATCTGTAAACAGATATAAATATATGAAGAATCGCCATTAAGGTCATCACCAACCTCGCCATAATTATTAAAACCATCATCATGCTCGTCATAATTATCAAACCACCATCATCGTCTTCATAGCCCTAGTCTTCTTCGTAGAACCCAGGTTTTATAATCATCAACATCATCATCATATATCATCATACACATCGCCAACGACATATTCACAATCGTCATCATAATCAGCATCGGCCATCATCAGTCATCGTTGTTATCATCCACATAGAACGTCGTTATAGTCATCATCATAAACATCGAATCATCAATGAGATAGAAGCCAAGAAGCTGGAATAATTACCAGTACTTTTGCTCAGGGCTCAAGGCTCCTTGTTTTTACTGTTACACATCCCGGCGTTCACGGCTTTTGAAACATGCGACAATAATCAACAACATGTTGTTACGAAACAGAGTCTACTTAATGTATTTCCGAACAGGGTGAGAATTGAAATTTCCTATAGGATTTGTGCTTGGAATCCAAGAAAAACAAGGGTGCGAATTGTAATTTCCCATAGGATATGTATTTCCGAACAGCGTGCGAATTGTAATTTCCCATAGGATTTGTGCTTGGAATCCAAGAAAAACAAGGGTGCGAATTGTAATTTCCCATAGGATATGTATTTCCGAACAGGGTGCGAATTGTCATTTCCCATAGGATTTGTGCTTGGAATCCAAGAAAAACAAGGCTGCGAATTGTAATTTCCCATAGGATATGTATTTCCGAACAGGGTGCGAATTGTAATTTCCCATAGGATTTGTGCTTGGAATCCAAGAATAACACGCGTGCGAATTGTAATTTCCCATAGGATATGTATTTCCGAACAGGGTGCGAATTGTAATTTCCCATAGGATTTGTGCTTGGAATCCAAGAAAAACAACGGTGCGAATTGTAATTTCCCATAGGATATGTATTTCCGAACAGGGTGCGAATTGTCATTTCCCATAGGATTTGTGCTTGGAGTCCAAGAAAAACTAGGCTGCGAATTGTAATTTCCCATAGGATATGTATTTCCGAACAGGGTGCGAATTGTAATTTCCCATAGGATTTGTGCTTGGGATCCAAGAAAAACAAGGGTGCGAATTGTAATTTCCCATTCCCATAGGATATGTATTTCCGAACAGGGTGCGAATTGTAATTTCCCATAGGATTTGTGCTTGGAATCCAAGAAAAACAAGGGTGCGAATTGTAATTTCCCATAGGATGCTGTACCTGGATGCCAAGAAACAGAGTCTACTTAATGTATTTCCGAACAGGGTGCGAATTGTAATTTCCCATAGGATTTGTACTTGGAATCCAAGAAACACAAGCGCTAATCAGGGTGCGAGCGGGTGCGAATTGTAATTTCCCATAGGATATGTATTTCCGAACAGGGTGCGAATTGTAATTTCCCATAGGATTTGTGCTTGGAATCCAAGAAAAACAAGGTGCGAATTGTAATTTCCCATAGGATGCTGTACCTGGATGCCAAGAAACAGAGTCTACTTAATGTATTTCCGAACAGGGTGCGAATTGTAATTTCCCGTAGGATTTGTGCTTGGAATCCAAGAAAAACAAGGGTGCGAATTGTAATTTCCCATAGGATGGTGTACCTGGATGCCAAGAAACAGAGTCTACTTAATGTATTTCCGAACAGGGTGCGAATTGTAATTTCCCATAGGATTCGTGCTTGGAATCCAAGAAAAACACGGGTGCGAATTGTAATTTCCCATAGGATATGTATTTCCGAACAGGGTGCGAATTGTAATTTCCCATAGGATTTGTGCTTGGAATCCAAGAAAAACAACGGTGCGAATTGTAATTTCCTATAGGATATGTATTTCCGAACAGGGTGCGAGCTGGCGGTTTCAGCTGGGGGAAACAAGCAGAAGTCTAGAAAAGTGTTTGAATTCTCCGCAGATACAACGAAGAATTTCGAAGAATTTCGAAGATTTACGAAGATCTAAGAGGAATGGTCTAGAAAAGTGTTTGAAGTTCTCCGCAGATACAACGAAGAATTTGGAAGAATTTCGAAGAATTTCGAAGATTTACGAAGATCTGAGAAGAATGGTCTAGAAAAGTGTTTGAAGTTCTCCGCAGATACAACGAATAATTTGGAATAATTTGGAATAATTTCGAATAATTTCGAATAGTTTCGAATAATTTCGAAGATTTACGAAGATCTAAGAATAATGGTGAAGAACCTGGAAGAATGAAGAATATTATGGAAGTTTACCGAAGAAAACGTAATATTTCCGAATATTTAAGCAGAAGTTCAAACATTTCTGAATATTGTTGAATAGGGTTAAACACACTGAGAAGTACCCTTCTGAGAAGCCTCCCTATCCTCACAGAAGAATAGGGGCCGGTACGACCAGGTTAAGTTTCGTCTACCATGTACTCCCTGTGTGCCACCAGGAGACATCTCCTTGGGGATGACGCCCTTCTCGTCCTTGGCAGAGACTCTGCACTGCATGTCGGAATGCACAGCAGGTCTCACTAGTACGTACACAAACCACAGGGAAAACAACTTGCTGCTGGTCCATGCTAGCATCCCAGTCGTGCACATTGCCTTGTTTGCACAGCTTCACTTCCCGAGGGAAACAAAGTAAAGGTTACACCAGGATTCCATAGTCCAAAACGGTTAAATCTTGTTTACAAGACTACCAGGTCGCTCATGATGTGCTCATCAACGTACTCGCGCATCAACTTTCGGAACTGCTTGTGGCTGTCGTTGTAGTAGGGCGTGTTGTACGCCTGATACCATGCTGGATCGCCGAACGGATGCCCCTCGCCATACACCTGCAGCCAGCACAACACATGCATTTCGTTTTACAAGCGTATCTACTAGAAGCCATCTTGGAAAGGAGACCTCCGTGTTCATGCCCTTCAGCATAGCCGGGCTCACCATAGCTTATATATGGCGTTGAATCAGCACTTGCTAGGCTGGCGGGGTGTTCTAGTGCAAAATGCTGGAGCCACAAAATCGGCATGCAGACATGAAGCATGCAGCACTTCCTTGTCTGCACCCGTGTACACCAGCACCGATCAGCACGGCATGTGGTTTGGATGTTGCTGGCTTTTTGCGAACAGCCCGGGAGAGGGGGTGGAGCTAGGGATGAAACTGTCGGCTGTCAGGTTGACCCACTTGCTTGCCCCTTGCAAGTTCCGGACCTCCGGCGAACCGCGGATCCGAGCTTGGCCTTGGCTTCGGCGCAACCTCCGAGAGCATCTTCGCCAATTGCTTCGTCCATCCTACGAAGGAGTCCATCAGACCATCACCTGTTCCGCCGCCACGCTTTGTCTCCATCGCTCAGCGCTCTTTGGGTTCCAGGTAGGACATGCCCAACGCACCTCAGACGAGACACCGTCATCGCACATGCACCTCCTGAAAGATACTGGACATGTCCCTTTGGCCAGGCATCCGAAAATATCCTGCTCGCAGCTGGCTTTGACCTGTCACTAAATTCGCTGCACATGTTCCGCTCATAAGTGAAATCAATGCTGCGGTGCGCACGCTCGCATCTTGTTCGGCCTTCTCTCCGGTCTTCCGATTCTCCAGCCCGTACTCGCTGAGCGTGAGTCCAAGTTCAATGGCTTTCCTGGTGAGACTGCAATCTGATGCACACAGGCACGGCTCTAAACTTTCCACGGCCAATCATGAAGGTGTTGCATGGCATTGCGGCATCCGCAACAAGTCTCATGCTAACGACATGTTAGCCAAAATCGACAAGCTAGTCGGTCGATCGCAAGACTTGTTCCTGCACGTGCACGCGCGTTACGCAACAAGACTGTGCAAAAAGCACACGCAAAATGGCTCAGCGCGCGTCGGAGGTTCGCACTGAGAGGATGCTGTATCGGGTAAAAGCGTAACTTGGAGCGTAAACACACCACGACCACTTGCTAACTTCGGGGCCCAGTGTCAGGCGCATCTTCACACCAAGCGCCTGTCGCGAGTACCACGCACTGCCACCGCCCATCGCAGACTCATCTTCTCCCCTCCGAGGCCGGAACCGCACTGCCGGTGAAGTACAGCATTCCTCAACTCACGCATGTGGCCATGGCCCTGCTATGCTCTGCCTTGTGACGCGAATGAGCTAGTGCGTGGATTCTTTCTCGCCGCTATCAGAAGAGAGGTGAAGCTACTGTAGAGTTCCGGCTAGAGCGGAGCCATCTTCTGGCAGCGGAGCGCCAAATCCGCTCGCACATCTGCAGTGTGAAGCATTCACCACAGAATGTAGGCTTGATGCATGCAAGGAGTCTCTACTGACCGAGGTCAGAAGATCACCTGCATCTTCTGGCCATCTCGGTACTCGTACTGCGGGTTCTTTTGCAAGCGGTCGTACCTGTCTAACACCTTCTCCTGGCGCTCGATGTCGTCCACGATTTTGTCCCAATGTCCATAGTCGAAAGGCCCCTTCTTCCTCTTCGAGGCATCGGGCGGCCAGGGGGTGTCGGCAGGCAGGCCAAAGGCTTCTGGGCCCAGGTCTTCAAACTTTGGCATCGGCCTGCAGCCATGAGCATGATAACTGCCCGACTGCTTAAGAAAAGATCTCCCTCACTTCGAGGTATAGTCTCCAAACATCCCCACCTTCACAAACCAAGCACAAAATGTTGGCCCCATTGTTCTCGGCGTTATGCCGAGGCGAATTGTGCTATGCCGAAGAGGGTTCCCGGCTCTTTGGGTTTCAGCTGATTCCCTTGTCCGCCGCTTTTGTGGCTTCCGGTTTTTGTGCCCCTTGCACGACGTTGGCTCGGACAAGTTGCGTGACAAGACACGGAGTTGCCACATGAGGTCTGCCTAGAGTCTACAAGTCGAAGCACGCAGGACCAGAGGGCCTTCGAGCAGCTGCGCTTGCTTCTCTCATCCGAGTTGTCTGCTCCTCTTCCTCGTCTTCACGCATCTCTCGCTCCAGTGAATCCCATTTGGAATAGTCGAAGTCCAGCTTCTGGGGTTTGGCATCTTTCCGCTTTGCTTCCACTTTCTTGGCTTCATTATCCTGCACAAAGTCTGCCGAGACTAGCTGCCTAGCTGACTAGAATGTCAAACACAGGGCAAGGTTTGGGGATGCTCCAAAGCAGGGCCTGCTTGGGTGCGAGCAGGTAGGCGTGAATCAAAGCGGCTGTGGACTTGAAGTTCTTCCGCTCTGCCATAGCTTGTGCCGTGAGCCCTGCTCGATTTTTCACGTCCACTGGCGAACCCGCTTCAAGCAGGGCTGCACAGACTTCCTCGTGGCCGCTATGAGCCGCGTACATCAACGGGGTGTTGCCCTCGCTATTCGAGAGGCGTGGGTTGGCTTTCAAGCTCAAGAGCAAGTTGGTCAGCTCAAGGCTTCCACGGTGGCATGCGAAGTGTAAGCCAGAGTTGCCTTGTAGATTCTGGAAGTTCACACTCGCACCAGCTTTGTATGCCTTGTTCACCAATCGGCTCTGCAAACCTTGAGAGTCCTTCCATTTGCTTTTGACCTCAGTCACAGTCCATGTCATTGCAGCCCTTGGCTCTTGCGGAAGAACCACGAAGCCCAGAAGACACAGCTAAGGATCAGACGATAAGCAGGAGGGCGGTGTCACCCCTGTCGTCTGGAAGGTTCACATCTGCACCTGACTCCATCGCAGCCTCGGCCGTCCTGACATCCTTCTGCGCCAGCGCTCCGAGCAACAAAGACCCGTACTTCTTTGGTCGCTCTCGATCATCGATCAAGGCTTTTAGATCGCGGCTCTTTTTCGAGGGATCCTCGGGGATTGGTTCTCCCATCATCTTCTCCCGCCAGTGCCGAAGTGGATTCTCCTCCGGCTCCTCTTGCGTCTGCGTGACCTGAAGAGCCACATTGACATGAACCCATGGGTGTTAAGATCGCGGTGGCTTTAGAGGCTCTGCCTTGACCATTTCTGACGCTGAGCGGTTCAGGGAGTCCGTCAGCGTAGCATCTGCTCCAGCTTCCAGGAGAATCTTCGCCGACTCGTCGTCGCCCTGCAACACGCAATGCCACGAATGTCCACACCTACTCTCTGCTGTTGGGCCTGCTTCGCGGCCATCATCAGAGCAGTTTGTCCAAAGGAATCGCGAGCATCTGGGTCAGCCCTGGCTTCAAGCACCATCCGCAGCATCTCGTGGGAGGACTTGGCGATGCAGTAATGTGCTGCACAGCGCCCGGTGTCAGGATGAGGACAACTGGCTGTCTCCTCATCGAGCTTGGCGAAAGCTTTCATGGCATCACCCTTCTCGATGGCCAAGCAAAGATCCGCCGCCCGCATCGATATGAGCTTGTTTGCGGATGATGCTGCAAACTCTTCCCTGCGCTTTCGTGCCTTTTCCAAGATATGGTCTAAGTGTGTGACGCCGTTGGTGTTGACGACAGACTTCGTGGCAGTCTGAAACCACTCCGGATGAGCAATTGCATGCTGCTTTGGAGGTAGCCAGTCCTTTGACGGACCACCCAGGCCTGCAACGGCATTCCACTGCATGCATGGATTCTGTGCAGATGATTGGGCTCTTGACCCGCCTGCAAGCATGGATGGGAGAAAAGGGTATCGACCAAATTTCTTCATCTTTGGCGGAGCCCCCTTCCGTTTACACTCAAAGGTATCATCGCTAAATTCGTACGGCGCGGCGGGGTCAAAGTCATCTTCGTCATCTGAAACTGGGGGGCTGACCTTAAGACTCGCATTGCGACTCGGTTTGGTGCAATCCCCGCACACTGTCGCATTCAGCCGAAACGCATATTCTGGATAACCGTCGAACTCCGACAAAATCTTCCTCGACATGGGGTGGATCTGGCTTGGCCCAACGAGCGGCAACCTGAGGCCGGCATCCTGGCTGCTGAGGCATTCGGCATGGTCTTGGGCAGATGTCAAGAGCAGTTGGATATACGAACACGCACCGAATCAAGTCTGAATCAAGTAATCAAGTGGAATGTCCTGCTCCACATCTTCGAGAAGGCAGGTCGCTTTTACATCTTCCTCCCAGAGTTCAGGAAGCTAAGCTCATTCGTCATTCCCACATGTACGATGTGAACACCAGCATGAACCAACTCCTCCTCATCATCTGAATTCAACAGGATCTGCCGAATTTCGTCCTCGTACCTGTGCATAATTTTCCGAGATGTTCTTCACCTGTATGAACTCTAAGAACCACGCGCTGCAACTCGCCACCCTGTCGGGCCTCTTGCGGGCTTCCACAAGAAACGGTGGAAAGGATGGGGCGGACACTGGACAGTCACGCGGATCCTGGGAAGAGGAATCATGCAAAAAGAAGACACAAGAGCAAGCTTGGCAGGCAATGGGACGTGCCTCTGTGTGTGCCTAATCATGTATGCATCTATAATCATCCATACATTTCTATGTAAGGATGCATCGGGTCTGTGTATATCGAAAAGGCGGGAAGGTTTACCCGGACTGCCTGAGGCCTGTGAAGGAGCAATATGTCTTGATGCGTGCATGTGCATGCTCCTACAGTTTCAATCTTGAACAATCTTGAACATAGCAGTGTTCTCGCCCGCCCCGGTTCTCCCACTGTCTTTTGCGTTCTTCCGCATGGCGACTGATACGTAGGACTCCAAACGGCAAAAAAACACCGATTGGAGTCTGCGAAATCGCCCTTCAAGCTTCACGGCGCAACGTGAAGCTCCAAGTCGAGATGTTTGCTGGAGATACGTCAGAAACTCATCAACCAACACGGCTGGTTCCCCGGGAGTCACGCGTTGACCCACATGCTAATTCCGCAGTGTCCGTCTGCACCCGTCCGTCCTGCACAGCGGGCGCAATCTGCTGCTTCAGCCACTTTTGGACCTGAGGGCACTATCTTCTCGGTCATGATCTGTTCAGCCTGCATCCGTCAAAAGGCAGCTTGCGGCCAGGAAGCTGCATAAGCATGCCACCTAGCCAGTCCATGCCAGATGAACTGCCGGCCCATTCCCTCCTAAGGCTTGCATGTGAGAAGTGGCTTGCAATGAAAGCTGGATTTGCTGGGCATCCTGGAGGTACCAGTTTACCTCGGGCGCCACATCTTCTGGTAGTTCTTGTAGCCGTGTGATTATCGACGGCTTCATGTTCTCGTTGTCCTTGTTGGTCAGAAAAGTAATAATGACTACTTAGGGGACTCTCCGATGAGTACCGCCGTCAGCTGGTCAGAAGATCTAATACTGCACGGGCAGTCTCACGACGGTCGAATAAGTTGGTCAGCCCAAGTAGCAAAGTGTACGATTTGTGCGATGCTCGGCCAATAGTCCGTGTCACCATTTCTCGCACGATCTACCTGCGATGCAGACAGCGCTACATTGTCTTATTTACACCCGGATATACCCTCGCGCAACATGGACCAAGCTCAGGTGCAACTCTCTTCTCAACATCCACGCGCATCCCCAGGTCGATGTCGAACTGCAACATGGGCTCGTCTTTCTTGCCAATCAAGTTCACCTCACCTCACAGCTACAGCTCGTGCACGCTACTGCCCATCACTGCCAACATTGCCCTGCAGGCTGCAGGCCTTCAAGCTGAACCTCCGCAATGGAAAGCTCGTAGTGCTGCCACGGGGTCGAGGCAATGCTTTTTTTCCTTTGGGTAACTCTTGACTCGTGCTTCATTTGCTCGAATGCTGAATCGCAGAAATCACGGCGGAAACAGTCCTGTCAAACGAGTCCTGCATGCTCATCAACAGAAACTCGGGCAGCGTCCGCTGTGCCCACCTTTGAAGCTCCGAGTACCATACGGGTCAACTGTTCAGTACAAGTGGCTTGCCCAAAAGCTCAGAAAGGGCTCGTCTGACCCCGTGTCAGCCAAGCTGCTCCAGCAAATCCCGATCGCTCCAATCCAAGCTCATGGCGTTAAGTGTTTGTCAAAACGAAGCAGCTAGTGGGCTTCTTGCCTACGCGCAAGATGCCCCAACAAAATGCAAACTTTGCAAACCTACAACCGTACGGGCGCCAGCTTCATTGGTCATGCACAACGGATCGCATAGCGGCTCCATTGTATAGGTCGGTGGGCTTTGGTTAAGGTAAACATGCTTGGTGTTCCAGGCAGTGCTGTAGCCAAGAGCGACGTTTGCAGCGACGCCTGCTGCGATGTGCAAGTGCCCAGCTTGCATGTGGCTGTCAAGCGGACATTGTATTCCCGGATCGGCTGAGGCCCGCACCAAAGTGGTACTGGTCGTTGGGCAAGCAGCGGATGTCGAGCCGTCGGTGCAAGCGTTCGTCTCCCGGCAGCCTGTGGATTCAAGTTTCTCTCGCGTTCGCCAAACGAAAAGTCCCGTATAGTGAAGCCCGCAGTGGGCCGCCTGCAAACACCCATAAACTTCGTGTTGCCGAAAGCCAAGTCCGCTGTCACGTACCCATCATGCTTCAGAGACTCCACCTCATACTCCAGCGTGATCAGGAAAGAACTTCATCAGTGCTCAGTCATCCAGCCCATGTTGAACCCTTACATAGCTCGCGAGGAGGTGCAAAGGCATGCAGGAGCTTCCCTCCAGCGTTGGCATCGCGCTTTGCCGTTGTGTAATCAGGGTGGCTGATCAACACGTCCTTGCAAAAAGAGCTGGGCATGTGCAAACAACAAGGAAATGCACAAACGGGATGCAGTTGGCTTCGCATCTGAGACAAACGGAAAGCGTCGATATCACCGCAATCAGGTCGTTCTCGCCGGTAGGAACCGCAAACCTTTACTGCTGTCTTAAATCGAAGTGTATTTGAAGTGCAGGCTTAAACTGGCTTCTCAGAACCCGGCTGTGAGCAGCAACTTGGGATTGCTGCGCCGTCTGCAGGCTTCAAGCACGTGATGATGCTCCTTCATCTCCGCCTGGAGCTGGAGAGCGAAGCATCACAAACGGCACAGGCGTTGTATGGCCGCTCTTTGCGGTCGAGTCGCATAAGGTATCCGCTTCGCGAACTCCTCACAATGGCGCAGCCCGACGACCTGATCTCGTCCAAACCCCTCTCCAACTGCACTCCTGATTCGCACTACATACAACCCGTTCATCAAAGAGCCTGGGCAGCATCGAGGTGCACCTGGCAGAAATCAGACCCTTGATGTTGGTTTCTCTTCATGGGGAGGGGACAAAGTACTCAGACACGCCTGATTCTTGGCAACGGCTTCTCGCAGGTGCAAGAGTGAACGGATGCCCCGCTCCACGAGCTCAGCTGCACGAACTGCTCCAATTCCATGTACCTCGGCATGCAACCAGGCCAACCAGGGGCAGATTCGATGATTTTGAGAGATGTCTTCTAACCGCTTTGCCACTACGGCCCTCGCAGAGCGAAGCTCGCGCAATGCGATGACGTCGCTGTCACGCTTCAGCTCGTCCAGCTCACTGAGTTCTCCGGTCGCCAGGATCACCTCAGAGCATCGATGTGCGACAAGCCTCCACGAGAGCAGCCCAGTGTTCTGAGCAGCGGTGCATCAATCCGACCGGCCATGCCGGAGCCGATGCCTGGAATGCCCTTGGCTTGAGCGCCACTGGCAATCGGCTCCTTCAGGGCCCGAAGAGCCTGTGCAGCCTTGGCATAGGCCTGAAACAGGCGGCTCTTCTGACTGAGCGTTCACAGCTCTCACGTTTAGGCCCAGGCCTGTGAACGGAACCGGTCCCGGCGCAGCTTCTGTATGACACTCATCTCTTCGAAGATGGAAGCGATTCGCTCATTTCCTGCCATGGGTTCAGAAGGCCAACAGGTGCCTTCTCCTGCACTCCCTGCACTACTGCTTGCTCACCGCGGACATCAAAACGTCAAGCATGCACGAAGAAGCTGCAGTCAGGGTGATCGTCAGTGTGACGCGTGCATACCGGGGCCAGCCCGCTTTGGGCCACTTGCCCCTGCAACTCTAGGGACATCTGTCGCTGCTAACGCCGGCCCGATTCGGCGACTTGGAGCTTGATCGGTTTGGAGGATCGTGGTGGTCCAGCGAGTTGCTACTCGCTTGTTTCCAAAGCATCGCGTCGAAGATCACTTCTGCGAGCGGTCCGCGATTCTGGTCGTGGTCGTCGGTTAAGCTTCCAGGCAAACTCATCTTCCGGCCCATCATCAATACCAACAACTGCTGGCCCCTTGCGCCTGCGCGGGCCCATGATGTGAGCGGGCAGCCGAAAGGCTGCAGCCTGTTCTGGCGTGCAGGGCCACAGTCGTACTCTCAGCTCATCGGGTGGAGCACGGCCGGTACGCTTCAGACTTTTTGGCGAGTGAATTGCCATCTGCAGTTCCCGGATACTCTCCTCGAAGTATTCAGGCTTGGCCAAGTCACGTATTTCGGCGATTATTCGCAAAGCAAGGTCAAGCACATCCTCGGGCTTACCACGACTCTGAAGAATTCGAGCCTCCACTCTGTGACCCTTTTCCAGAAACTTGCGAACCTGATTCAACTTTCTTTCAAAGTCGTGCTCGTCAATTACCGCAGTGAACCGCATTCCTTTGACTCGCATCGCTGGGTCGAAACTAAATTCCCTCAGACGCTGCTCACGTTTCTGCTGTTCCTTCGAAGCAGCTTGACGATCCATCTCGTCGATATACACATGTAGGTTTACAAGTCGGCACAGCGGAGGCTCAACCTGCCCGGACAAAACGACTAGGTCTGTCCGACGCTGCTTCGCCAGCGCTAAGGCCTCGCCTAAAAGAAAGTCTCCGACCAGCCCTGCATCGTCGACCACGCGGACGCGCGGAAACGGAATGTCACCGTTCGCGAGGACCTCGTGCACTGAAGCGAAGGATCTTTGGAATCTCGGAGCCTGTGGGGCTTGAAGGCGTCGCCATGTGGCCTCGAGCGGTCCGAAGCTGAACGACCGGTATGGAGCACGGGCAGGTTGATCTTGACGTAGCAAAGCGGCTGGCCGCCCATTGGAAAGAAGAGGACGAAGCAAAGCAAGCGGCGAACACCAGGCCCGACGGCTTCTGGCCACAAGCATGGCATGCATGGCTGGGCTGAGGCTGAAAACTTTGCACTTCGCCAAAATCTAGACAGCACGGGGACTCAGCTCCATCTGCACTCCTTCTCTGTCCTGATCGGAGACTTCTGCCAGGCTATGCGAGAGGACAGTGTGCCAGATGGCTGCAGTCTCATTCAAGAAGCCTTTAAAGCGAGTGCACGTAAGGCGACAGCAGCATGGACCCAGAAGCTGGCAGTGACTATTCTCAGCGACTGCGCCTGTCTTCGAGTCAACGGAAGCAGAGGCATCCTCCTTGTCTGCAGCTCTCGCCACAGCTGCATGTCCTGAGTTCACCGGACGCCCGTTGACACCCCGCAGCGGGCAATGCTCTCCCCCATCTTGAAACTGCCCGGACACCATGGCTGCGACCAGCTCCTTCTAGCCCGAAGTCAGGCACGAGATCTGACGTGCTTTCGCCGTCTGGCTTGGTTTGGTAACTGAGTAATATCAGCATTGCCCCGTGTCGCCGCACAGCCTGCTTCACAAACTTATCGCGGCATGTCAATTGGCAACAAGCGGACACGGCGTTCTACAAGATCTCGCTGGGTCCTTCGTTCTGGGCCCCTCCGCGCTTCGTCAGATGTAAAAAGGCAGAGTGCTGATCGTGGTGTGGTGGCTGTAAAAGTTCTTTAACCGGTGGTTGAGGACATGACCATGTGAAAGTCAAGATTTACAAGAAGGGGCACTTCAACAGGTGGCTTGAAGTGATACCTTGATTGAAGCAGGGCTTCAACAACCAGAAGAACGCCATTGGCCAATAGGCCCGAAGGCAAGCATCATCCTGGATCTTATCCAGCCTCAGGGCGAGTTCCGGTGGTACACGTTGGTACACTTCTTGTGTTGATGCTGCTGTGGCGTGTGGTGATGCCAGTCGCACACCTTATCTGTGCCGGTTTTGCTGATCGAGCCGCCGGCAGCGAGACGAAAGACACACCAATAAATTCACGCATGAAGTACCCTGCCACTACGGTGAATACGTGAAGAGGGGCGTCTCACCCACCTAGGATTCATCACGCCTCTGCCTCATCAGGCATCTCACCCACTGCTACTCACCAAAAAGCCACTTTGCGACTTAAATGACAAATTCGGATGCTATCCGTGGATTGAAGCTATTTCGCCGGCCTCTGGGTCTGTATATATATATATATATATATATACATATGTGTGTATACACAACACTTTTAGCACTCGTTGTTTGTCTGTGTATTCACTACTTCTGCTATGCATGTAGTTGATCATGTGTTACTGTGGTTATTTGTTCATTTTAGCACTCGAGCTCGACCAGGTCAGTTATATTTGTTCATACATATACATATGTATAATTATATATATATATATATATATACATATATATATATATATATATACATACATATATATATATATGTATACATTCACCTTTACATATGCACAAGCATTCATGTGTATGCATACACACACATATTTATGTGTGTGTGTGTATATATATATATATATACGCAAACATGGACATATACACACCATTTGTGTGCATCTACATACGACCACACAGTTTTCAGTCTCATGTGGTACCATTGGATTCCAGACGCGAACTAATGCTGTTGCTGCAGGAGGCCACCATGTTTCGATTTGTTGGGTTGCCTCGCCATGGACTCCGGCTGCCACAGGATTCGCGGAGGACACATCCCGTCTCATATCACAGAGACCCACCGAAGACGGAGCGACTTGCAAACACGTTGAGATTGGATAGCATAAGACCGGGTGCCTGGCCCCGCTGTCCAGCAGCCATCTCGCGCGCTGGCGGTTGCACTTCGTGTCGAGCGGCTTTCGCCTGCAGCAGTGTCACAGCTAAACCGCGAAGAGCTGACTCTGTGCTTTTGCCTGTGAGGTCTCTTCGCCACTCCGCAGAAAGTAGCCAGACAATGTCCGCTTTGAACGTGAAACTGGGGCCTGAAGACGTGAGTTCTCCATGCTTGGGAACCCCCAGCCTGCACCCAACGCCTCGGTTGCTTCTGGCCCACAGGATGTCACGCCGGCGCCCCTCCTCCGCAGCTCAGATGCCAGTCGTCATGTGGCCAGCACACCACCCTTGCACCCTGCGGCGGCCCGCGCAGCTGCAGCTTCTGCAGCATTCGGCGGAAGCTGTTGAAGGCTCCTGATGCCACGCAGTTTCCACAGAGTGGCCTGTGAAAAATACCCTCAGCCCCTCAGCAGCCTGCAAAGGCCGGTGACCTTATCGCGCTCGACCAAACGAAGCAGATCAAGCTCACAGGATCTGCCTCGAAGGGCCGAACGAAGCTAGAAGCGGGTCTGCCGCTGTGAAGACGGAGGGCATCGCTAGCGGGATTCTGCGAAGCAACCATAAAATTTTCGGCAGCACAATCACTCTAATCGGCTCTGCAGTTTCCCCACTGCTCGCCATCTCTCCCTCTTCTGGCATTAAACCCAGCCCGCGGCTCCACCGTCCGCGTGATTCAACTTGACAAGGATGCCTAGCTCTTCCCTAATCTCGCGACGGTAGGGTTGGAGGGAGGGAGGGAGGGAGGGGGATTCAGTCAGCTCGTGTACCGGCACAACTCTACGCGGAGATCGATACAACCGGCCTCCAAACACCAACACCCACACCAAGCTTGCTGAGATACACAACGCGAAAGTGTCCGACCTTGTATATTGGTCAAGGTTTACAACAACAGTCGTACAAGCATAGACTATAGACTGATCTAGACTGCAGGTACTCGAATGGAAGGCTTGCCGAAGGTTTGGAGCGCAGACCAACGCGACAGTGCCCGAGCAAGTCCGCTCCAGTTCCAGGATGCAGTGCTGTCAGCTTCACAACAACGCACCACCAACACCACCACCACCACCACCACCACCACCACCACCACCACCACCACTACCACTACCGCCACCAGTGTCAGCATCACTCGCATCAGAGGTTACCCGTTTGCGTGCTAGTTAAGTTTCACCGTAGGAAGTCGTAGCTATAGCAGCGAAACACAAACAGCAAAATTGATCAATGATAGAATCAAGAGTGCCGCGAGCGCGAATATCTCAGTAGCTGCCCCTCATTGTCGGCAAGTGGGATAAGGGATGGAACGGAGCAGGAGCTGGGAAAAGTACAAAGCATTACAACTTTTCTCCGGAACTCGTTGTACCGTATCGCCTGTAACTTCATGGGAGCCCCAAAGACCAGGTATTTGATTAGGCCCGTGTGTTTTGGGGTGTTTCAGGCGGTTTAAATGCATACAGCTGCTTTCGGTTTGGTCGGTGTGATTTAGATGCTGATTTCGCTTGTTGTTGAGATTCCCTCTGTCATTTGTTGGGGCCCGAATCTGGAATTTGTTCTGGCCCGATTCTGCTGACCCCTCGCAAATAAGACCGCCCGCCCCCTGAAACCAAGACAGTTACAAACGGCGGGTCGGCAAGCTTGTCAACAGAGAATGCTCTATGGCTATAGCAGTGTTCAACTTGCCGAGTTGGCCGGCTTCTGCTGTGCACACCTATGTGGCTCGGCGACTTCTTGGCATCCACAGAAACAAATTGCAAATGAAGCGAGCGGCTGTCGTTGGGCCGTGAAGGTGGGACTTGAATATGTGCAGCATGCACAGCTCAGTCTACAGCAAACAGTGTCTTTCAGATGTTGGAGCCGCTTCTGGAGACAAACACTGCAGCCCAATGGTACTGTGGCAAACTGAGAGGATGCTCACGATGCATTAATCTCAAGGACACAAAGCAGAAAGACCCCGGCCTTGCACCTTGCAGTCCACCCGCTGCTTCAGGCTAGCTCCAGCCAGGCGCAATGCAAGAGTCACCTCTTCACACTTTGCGGCGGTACAGCCACCTAGCAATCCAGTACCGCCCACTCATCACGACGCGGGCGTCCTCTGCATCGCATGGCTTCCAGATGCCGCCTTCTTCTACCTATGATATTAATATTGATGAGGGACAGGCAGGCTGGCAGACTGGCGAGATGCATCGGCGCCTCCCAGCGCGCAATCGCTGCAGCGGCTGCTTGCTCAGGTGATGCCATGGCACACGACGAGCATCTTGGTGCATCTTACTCGCGACGCTCGCATAGCCGTAGCCCATTCAAAAACTCCTCGACCTTGACTCCCACATGGCTCGGTTGAAGCCTGCTAAGAACTAGTAACATCCTCTTCTGAGCTTCCATTCGATTGCGACCAAATTGGCAGACAAGGCCCAGCTTCCGGTAGCAGATCGGCGGTAGTGCCGTCCACGCGCAGCTCTTTCGACGCTAGTTTCCACCGTGCGGGACCCGAGTTGGACCCCGGTGAATGTGAGACGGAGCTAAGTCGAAAATCCGGCGCCAAACAATTTACCATCACAGAGCTGTACTGTGCAACCATATCTGCTGAAGCTACAAGCAAAGTAGCAACTGAATCGCGCGCCGATACTGGCATGCTGTTTCTATGTGCTCTGCTTTGCAGAGCAACCTAGCAAGCATTCCCTGTATGCAAGCACGAAGCACGAAGCCCTGAATACAAAACGTCTCATCATAAACCTCAGGCGCAGCCGTCCTGCACTTTTCTTAGGCTTTTCCCTGGAAAATGGCAAATTGAACAACACATGGAGTATTTGTCACATCATTCCACGTTCTTTGAGGCGCTTCTTCGTGAGCGCCTGGCGGAGCGGTGCGGCAGTGCGTCAGTACGGCATCGCAGACTGAATCGAATGCGCAGGAACAGACCGAGGCTGAGCGCCAGGTTGGCGGCGGCCGAGATTGGAAAGCGACGCACCGAGCCGGTGGTTGGCCGACTTGAAAGAGGCCTCTGTTGCAACGAAGCGAAGTTTCGAGAAGAACTTCGGAGCTGTGGGGCGTCGGACATGGAAACCGCATCTTCGCTGGGAGTCGCTGGCCTCAGTCGGCAAGCGATCCCGAGCCGAGGTTTTTGACGTCGCGACCAGTCTGCTTGGCTCCAAGCGGCAGCTCGGCAGCGATGTTCACTTTCTGTGGCCGCTCACCGCGGGCCCTCAGCTGTGTTTGCTTGCCTGTCCTGGAATCTGACACCCCAACTAAGGACTCCACTTCGGCACAGCCATCGGAGGATTGCTAGGAGTCTTTTCTCGAGCACCTATCACAGACGAAACAGGCATCCAAGGGCACCCGTCCAGTACCGGAAACTCCTCACCGAGACGTGGACTCAGGCATCCGGCGGCTCCAGCGTCGGAGCGCAGGCTCGAAACCATGTCAGCCAGGCCCACACCAGACCTGGGAAACCGAAGTGCGCTTCTTGCGTGTCGTGCGAATTCGGTTTCCCCCTTCAGAACATCTGCGCTCAGTTGGGTCTCAGCGCTGATGCTTCATGATCTGTGTTCTGCGACCAGTGTGCGCCTCTTGAGGCTTTCGCCGCACAGGTTGTTGTCTATTTGCGCTCCCGGCCCGAGACCCTTCGAGAAGAAGGTGTGTCCATGAAGTGCGGAGGATTTCTTTTTCGCAGCCTCTCACCCGAAGCTTTGCAGACACAAGCTCTGGGGCTTCGAGCGCCGCAGGAGACTTTTTGAACTGGGTTATGGCGGCTTTGGCGTCTTTTATGCCTCGGAAAGACCGACACCGAAAATGGAGTGCATCCCCGAACATCACTTCACAGAACCAACGTCGGGAAACGCTTGCAGGATCTAGCTGAGCACTTGGCGCTTTGTGTCCTCCCAATTTTGCAAACACTCCTGGAGAGGCGATAAACAGCGAGCCACAAGCAGCAAGTTGCGACAACGCTGCCCACGGTAAGCATGGTAAGCACAAGCTTCACGATTGTCTACTCACGTAGGAAAACAGAGACACATACATGCCGATTTGTGTGTGTGCGTGTGCGCGGACAAAGCCCGGCTAATTCAAGGTTTCAGTGAAACTGCAACTGCAGGGAGCCCTGTCAGGGGGCAGCCAATGGAGTGTCCCTGGGCTCGGTGTAATTGGGTGATGGTGTTTCGGCTGCTTTCGTATGCGGTCAGTGTCGTGAGCCCTGGGAGGGTGCCAAGCGTGATCCTAACCATCAAAGTACGTGGTGATGTAGCAATGCACACAGCATGGGGACATTGAAGCTGTGACTTTGGCTGACATGGCTTGTGCATTAAACGCCAGCACTCGCCCTGAGCAACCAGTTGTTGCCTTCAGCAACCACTTTATGCAACGAAACTCTTGCATGGTTTGCAAATCTGTGCGAGGAGGGGTTTCGATGTGAATGCATGCATTTGCGGTGTAGCTTGCCACTTGCAGCTTTTTGGCCTTGAGGCGTCTTGTATCTGTGGCATGTCGACACACTGTACGAAAGCAATTCTGAAGCTTCACTTCAATTGTCGCCGGTGCAAACTTCCATGTTGGACCCCGTTGCTGCACTACTCCAAAGCAGAGGCATCACCAGCATGGATTTTCCACCTGGCATTGGGCATGTTTCTAGCAGCAGTCAGCAGCGACGAAGCGGTGAGAGACAAGTGGAGAGTGGTCGGAAACATACGGCGTCGATCAAAACGGCCATGAAAGAAGCGGAGCGTGTCTTCAAAGAGTTGTCAGAAGCAAGGCTTTCAAGCCTCCTTGACGTTGCTGCTGCGTGGGTTTGAGTGTAAAGCAAGCTTCTTCCGCAAAGGACAAGGGGTTGACCCGCATCATTGCGGCAGTCCATGTCCTGCTTGCTGAGCCCCCACTTCGTTCAAGTGTTTTAATTTTTAAACATCTTTGAACCACACGTTGCAGTGTGCTACATTGTGCCTTGCTTTTTCAAATGATCGGGCGAAAGGTTGTCTTTCAACTTTCAAGGCCGCTGAGTGGAAACGGAGGCTGCAGCGTCGAAATGTCTCTCCTCGAAGTTGTCTTTGGCGGTATTTCCATCGGAGCTTCGCTTTCTACATTCGCATGCCTGATGTTTAGTCGTCGGCTTTCTCTTGGATTTCATATGTGTCACCTTGGCTCCACAAAATCGGGATTTTCCATCGCGAGTATGTCGAGTCCGAAATTGCGACCAATTGCTTCAATCCTCCCGTGAAGTTTAGTTGCCAAAGCGTTTCCGATTTCGTCCCGATTGTCTTGGCTGCTGGAAGCTCCCACGCACAACCGTGGACATTGGAACGTCTCTTTGTACAGACTTGGCGTCCACCTTAAACCTATCCGTATTCAATCAAATTATCTTTAGAGGTAACGCCGTTGCCAGTGCCCCGGCTCGCCAAGCCAAGTCGGTGCTGCAGAAACACCCGGAGCTTGAGTGCATAGATGGCGTAGACGGTCATGTTGCATCACCAGCACGATTGTCGGTTTCAGGACGTTTGCCACTGCTTCTAGAGTCGTCTGCAAGACTTACATACTTACATACATACGCTGCCATGTGGGTTTCTGTACTGACAAAGACTCTCCCCAGCTATGTATGTACGTCTGCATATGTTTTAACATGTGTGTATTGCAGTTGCGTGTGTAAGCGTGCGTGTATCGAGAATCTTCGCTAGAGCCTTTCCAAGACGGAACTGGCCTGAAGAACGTGTCTTCCTCGCTCGCGGTCCTTGACTCGCTGCCTGGGCGGTCCACTTTTTGAAAGAGCCCTCTGGACGAAGTCAACGAAGCTTTCAACCGAGTGGAAAGCTGCACGAGCTCGGTATGTGCTGCGAGGTTGTTGATGTGGTCCATCTCCTTGCAAACCACTTTCAGGGTTTGCCATGCATGCCTATGAAGCCGAGCTTGGACGCCCGCATGTTCGATGGCCTTTCTGTGTTCCTTCTGGCGCTTCTTGAGCTCCACCTGCACTGGTGCCAAGAAGGCCAAAAGAAGCCACCACAACAAGTACACGTCGCAGTCCAGGCAGCCCAAGCCCATCGCCTGGTTGTCCAGGTCCTCCTTTAGATGCAAGCGCCGCTCAACGATGTAGTCCTTTACCTGATGTGCACAATGAAAGGAAAGCTTCCTGTGAACGCGAGCCCTAGCACAGTATCCTCTCCGAGTCTGAGCGGTTGACGGAAATGTTGGACGGCTTTGAGAAGTCGGGAAACCCGTGCATCGAAGCCTGCGATGTCTTCTGGTACTGAACTCGAAGCTCCCTGAAGAGCCATGCAGGCTACTCACCCGCCTGTTCAACCGACGCGCGCTTGGCTTCTTCCCGCCGCAGCTGGTGTTCTCGTATCTGATCCTGAGACAGTGCGAAACTGCACGGAAGCCGATGGCTACCGCCTCGCAGTCCCAAGCGGGCCTTCAGCATCTCCCGGTAATCACGCTCTATCGCGCTTCTCCAGTCCATGTCCTGGAGCCCAGGAGGAGGATGCCGGGCCATACCCAGGAGTCCCAAAGCCCTCAGTTCCACCTTCTTCTCTTCCTCCATGCAACGCCTTCAATGTTGACAGCAGCTGCACTTCACGATCTTCTGGACACCATTACCGAACATGGAAGCAGCGCCTGAGGTGATTTTGCCAGAGCTCTCTCCTCACTCACTTGCACCGCAGAGAGAATTGCAGAGCTGCATCTTTGAAGCCGCAACAGGTCAGTCGAAGCTGATATTCTTTTCCGCAGACTGTGGCGAAAGCTTCGAGGGGCAACCCATACAGGTGCGCCCGGTGGGTGATACTGTCTTATGTTTCTGTGCTTTCCGCACACACCCTCAGCCTCTGCTGGGAGGCGCACTGTTGCTGTAATCAGAGCCTAGCGGTTCCACAGCTTCGGATCTCCTTCTGGGTACATATGAATTTGGTCCTGCACTGGCACCAATACGCTGGAAGATCAAGCTGAACTGCCCCGCATTTTTGCAAACTGCTCGCTTTCCGCGTGGTTCGACCTTGGTCTGCGGTGCATAGTAACCGGGGCCAGGTGCGCATCCAGCAGCCTTCGCAGCACGGACATCCTCGGCAGGTTTACCACGACGCTGCGACCAGGCAGGCGATGACATCCAGTGGACTCGGGCTGCGCTTTCGATGCCATCCAGTTGTTGGTACTGCCCAGGTCCAACTGGATTGAACCAAAGCTTCATGTTGCCAGGGTTTCGCACACCCTTCAACACACCCGACTCATCGTACCTCGGGTTCTCTCCGAACGTGCACCTCAGTTTCCACCGGCGATGGTCGCCACTCACAACTGGGGAAAAGCTGCTGACACGAGAAGCAGATATGGAAGTGCCACTTGGGCACTGTGACAAGCTATGACCAACGGACCTCTGCTGTCCACTACGATATCGAAAACACACAGCGCAAACTTGCATGGCTACGAACCATCCAACGTGACCACCACCCAGCAGCCGACAAGAGCAGCTGACGAACGCAGTTGTGTTCACGAAAGCGGGGAAGATGAGGAGGAGATGGAGGGGTGAGGAGAGAGGCTTAAAACAGCCGTGCTTGCGGGTCACCATTTGCGATTTTCTACCAGCCCGCTGAAGCTCGCAAGGCAAAATGACCACATGTTTAAGTCAAGCGACTGTGGGGCTTTCCGGAACCTTGCATCCACGTCCTTCCGCACTTCGCTGGTGATGTCATTCACAAAGTCCCGATCTGCTTTGTACTGACCGGGCTGAATGCTCGCCGCAGCTGATCTCTTCACCAAGCCCGAATCCTCGGCACAGCCACTAACCCACTGAAAAAAGAAACAACTCATCCACAGAGGGAAGCCCCTGCCACACAAAGCAACGGAGTGCCTGTTTTGCATAAGGCTGGGCAGAGCTGAGTTTGAAGCATCCTGGTGGCCAGTGTAGTGGCATTCTAGCAGTTTATATACAGACTCTCTACGGCCAAGGAAAATTCTCTCAGCCATAATGTCAAAATCTCGCTAGTCAGCTCATTGGGGCCGTCGAAATCCTCAGAATCTCTGTCCCCTCAGCAGTGACCGCGGTCACCCAGCCAATGTCGGAGGTGCCCTTTGCGCGAGCCTTCACCCGCTTGTCTCCGTTTCCATTCCTTGAATACCACTCCAGGATCTCCAGCTTCTCGCCGGGCGCAAGTTCACGAATTGCTGTGCTTTCCTCAAGCTCGCTTGTCAGCGGCGTTTCTCTCTGCACATCCAACAGGCCCTCGCTTGGGACCAAGAAGGAAGTGCCGCCGCTGCCCGTGATGGTGGCCCAGCCTTCTGCAGCATCTAGAACTGCTCGGCATTTCGCACGTGGGATCCCGGGAGTCTTCTCTTCTGAGGGGCCCTCCAGGATCTCCACGAGCTCCCTTGGGTCCAGGCGCCGCAGCGCATGACCCTCCTCTAGGGCATCCTGCTCCGTCATGACGGTCTCAGCCACCACCAAGTAGTAGCACCGAGATGCCAACACCAGCATCTCTCTGCTAATGGTGCCCGTGGCCATGTCATAGTAACTAAAGGTCTTTTCGACTTTTTCAGCATCCAGCTGACAGCCGTCAGCTTGAAGAAAGGCAGTGAAGTCCGAGAGGTTGACCGTACCATCGCCGTCCTTGTCGACAGCCTTGAAGAGATCCTCTGGCTCCATCTTCTTGGCACGCAGGAGTTTGCTGACTTCCGCTCTCGCATTTAAGAGCTCCGTGACCTCCAGCTTTTCCAAGTAACGCTGTGCGCGCTCAATTGCCTGTTTGGTCTGCATCAAGCGAGTATCCATCTGCAGCACCTTCGCCTCGACTTTACGAATCTCGACCTGCACCCACTGCTTGACATCCTCGTCTGCAGAGTTTGCAAGGTCAGTTAAGCGGGTGCGAACATCAGACAACTCAGTCTGAGCATCGTTCAAAGCATTTGTGGCAGCTTCGCTGGCGGCTGTGACCTCTTCCTTGCCTGGCGCCTCGTTGAGGCGTTCCCTCGACAAGTCCTCAGCTGCAGCTGCCTCTTCGGCCTTTGCCACTGCAGGCTCTGCATCAGTCAAGGTGTCAACGACCTTCTGGATGTCGGCCTCGATGACTTTCTTCTTGGCCTCCAAAGCAAGCCTCTTCTGCTCTGCTTCCCGTTTCCGGGCTAAGACGGCCTCCTCCTCGCGGGCAATGCCCACTGCGACCTTGACACGCTGGAACCGAGCACGGGGAACACCCCTGATGCCCTCTCCGTGCTTCTTCAAAATGGTCGATGCCGCTTCTTTGCACAGTGGGAAACGGAACTCGCCCTTGGCATAAGCGATCATGTCATCCACCGTGAAGAAACCGTCCTTTGCCGAGTTGTACTTGTCAAAAGCTGAGGTGCGCTTTGCGTAGACCTTCATGGCGTGGGTCTTCCTCACAGCCTTGTCAATCATATCCCTGGCTGAGGTTGTCGAAGCTACGACTATTCTGTAGCATTCCTGTATTCGGGTTTGAAGCTTGATCTGCTCTTCCCGAAGCTCAGCCAAGTAGGGTGGCTTCACCACATCGATGCTCATCCTCCGCTCAACGATAAAGCTGGAGCACATCTTGCACGAGGCCTTTGCGGAAACGGATACCTCGCTCACAGACTTTCCGGCCTCTCGGGCTTCATCTTCGCTCATGGACTTGGATCCAAGCACAGGGGCAGCTGCGGTCTTGAGGCTTGCCGCGTCTTGCTCCGCCTTCTCAACGAGTCCCCCTAGCTCTGTGAGGATCCGCTTGGCTTCTTCCATGCGCTCTTGGTTTTGCCGTTCCTCTTCTATGCGGTGCTGCTTAATCTGCTCCACGCGCATCTGCGCGCCTTGGAACTGCTGCATCACCTCGGCCTTGACAACCTCGGCCTGGCTCCCGCACTTCGGCAGCTCTTGCATGATCATCTTCTCCACCTCGTCCTTGAGCTGTTCATAATTCTCAGGCGTTGCAGCAGCTAGCTTCTGCAGGATCGCCTGACAGTTCATAACCCCTTGTTGCTCTGCCCTGCGTTGTTCTTCCTGCCTTCGCCGGGCCATCTCGTCATCCCGCTGCTTCTGCTGGAGGTATTGTTGCTGTTGCATTTGCTGCTGATACTGTTGCTGGTATTGCTGCTGGTACTGCCCGTATCCCTGTTGTCCATATGCCTGGTAGGCTTGGCTGTAGCCTTGCCCACCAGAGCTGATGACAAAAGATGGGTCCACTTGGCCATCATATGGTACACGCCAACCGGTTGAGGGTGGCTGAGAGCTGCGCTCACTGTTGTACGCCCAGACTTGATCACCACCCACCTTGGGTCCAAACCACCAGCCGCAGAAGTTTGCACCATCTCGCTCGTCCCAAAAGTAGATCAGGACGTCTAGCGTGGGGTTGTTCGCCACCGGCTCATTCTTCTTGTAAACAGGCCGGCCATGGTTCTCCGTCTGGTAGGCGAAAGTGCCCCGAACGATGTTGCCAACAGTCGCATCCGCACAGCCTGTAACAGTCAAGCCGCTTGAGCTAGCCTGCTGCTGCTGCTGGCCTTGCTGCTGGTACTGCTGCTGCTGCTGCTGCTGTGGCTGTTGGTACTGTTGCTGGTACTGCTGGTACTGCTGTTGTTGTTGCTGATACTGTTGCTGGTACTGTTGCTGCTGCTCAGCCGTCATCTGCATTTGCGGGTATCCCTGCTGTTGCATGTTGTAGCCCGGCATCATGTAGCTCGCCATGGCGGCGCTGTACCTACGGATCCCTCCCAATCCTCACTCAGCCACAAGAGCTTCAAAGACACCCTCAGGCCATGAAATGACGTGAGACACTCAAGTGACGAACAAGGAAGCAAGGGGTGCAGCAGATTCATTCGAGACACACTGGCACTTCGATTGAAGGTCCATTCTGGAGCTCGTCTTTGGTCCCCCAGCTTGTCCAGAAACCTTGCAACGATGCTAAATCTTGCTTCAAACGCTTAGTTTAGTTTAGACTGAAATCTCGCCTGGAGTATGCTAGCTGCGAACATGGCGGGAAGAGCGGCGTCTTCGCATGCTTTGTGGATTTCGGGGCCCGCTTCCCGCAGTCAGGTGAAGACATTGGCATCCACAGGCAAGCTGCGACTTTCAGAATTAGTGTGTGCAGCTGAACAAGGTGCTGCTGAGTGTCTGTGCCTTTGGACTTCGGGGATTGTGTTCCCATATGGGGCCAGCATTATCATGATCGTCCGGGCCAGCTGAGCCAGTTTCCGCGCGAGAAACATCAGGATGACGAAGAATTGCTGTCAGACCTCCCGTCTTGACCAAGACCGCCGCTGCTGTACGGCTTCTTCAGCTTCTTCACTGATGTCAGCAAGATGCCGATCCCTGGCCTCAACCGCAGTGGAAATGCGCTTGCAAAAACACGGAGTCCCCTCATACGCCGGCCTCCCTCTGTGCCAGCTCCTCCTTAGACATGCCCGAACCACTGGAGCTGCCCAGGGCGAGGGCAGCCTGTACCCGGAACGCAATCGTGGAAGGCAGCGTGCTGGCACAAGGGGTCCGAGCCGGCGTCCCGGTATCATGAAAGCCCCCGAGATCAGTTGCCTTCGCCAGGCCAGGCCGCACAGGGCGCACAGGCCGCACCAGCGCTGCGGACTCTCAATGACTCAAGGGCCCGGGCTTTGACGGTGCCACGGAACTGGTTGGAATCAACGGTCAAAGACCTGCAGCGGCTGCAGCGTCTGCCGTTCAAGTACGGCCTCGACTCCAGAGCCAGGGTTCCGGACAGCGCGTCTTTCGAGGGCGGAGTGAAAGTCTTCGCGGGCCGACTTTGCCTCAAACCACAGATCCGCGCGGTCCGCGCAGGCGCGCGACTTCCGCCCCCGATTTCTGAAGGACCCGGCTCCGCGGCATCAGGCGGCACCTGCAAGCCCTCGCTCGCGTAGAGTTCCTGAAACGCAAACAAAGCAACACCGAATTTGCGCTCGTCCTGTGGCCGGGCTGGGTGGGCCCCGAGCCGCGGAGAAGCTGAAGCTGACGACGCGCTGGCAGGAACGAAGCGTGCCGACGCCCATCCCAAGGCCAACCTGATGGGATGCGGAGCGGAGAAGCTAAGCCTGCGTGACTGCGTGCCGACTGCAGTGCAACAAAAGGCGCCTCTCGACCCGATGCGATTGCCTCCGGAGGCAAGTCATCGACAGAGTCTGTAAAACTCGTCTTCGCTTGCTGCTAGATGCCGTGCTCCGGGGATCGCGCTTCTGTCAGCTGCTGTATGATCGCCCGCAGGCCTGATTGCTCCGGTGCTGACTCTCTGCCCGTTGAAACAAGGCTCCAGCCACAGCCGACCCTTTTTTTGCATGCCCGGCGGGTCAGTCGCTAGCTGCGAACATGGCAACCGTATGCCTTCCCATCTCTTGCGTCGCGTCGTCCACGAGAGTCCATCACTCTTGAGCTCTTCAGCCCTTGACAGCTAGGAGCACTCCTCGAACTGTTGCATCTGCCCGCGTCGACCCCACCAAACATCGCCCACCCTGCATCAAAGGTCTGACGATCTCATTGTGGCTGAGGCCTGAAGACTCAAGCTTTGGGATGCAGCGTCCCGTGATTGCAAGTAGGCCTGCCCAGCAGCGCCTGCTCGACAACTGCCTGAATCTCCTGGCGCGCACGCGGCGCGGCCGACGCTTCCCACCCGGGCCATAGAGGCTGTGCAAGGGCCTCTTCCAGCTCAGCATAATGCTTCAAAGCCTCCTGCAGAAGGATCTAAAGTTGAATCCGCAGCTACAGCATGCTCTGCAGTCTCCTCCTGGGTCTTCAGGCCCCTCCGCCCCTGCGCAGCACCCAGTAGTAACCCCAGCACCTGCAAGTCGTTTCGACGCTGACCTGCGTCAAACTCGATCTGTACCCGTGCCCGCCCGTGCCCCATGCCTCGTTGCGGTGCACGTTCTCCCCTCCAGCATTCGCAGAAGCCAGAAGGGCATCCCAAGCGTCGTCGCCAGCGTACTTGTACGCAAAGTGCAGCCTCGGCACAGGCAGCGCAACATCGGAACCAGATCCGTCCTACGCTTGCAATGTCGCGCTCTTTTTCCTTTCTCCGAACTGCAGACATTCACAGAAGTAGCTCAGTGACCGCCGTGGCCCAATGCCTCACAAGGGACTTGGCTGGAAAATGGACTGGAGACATACAGCTCAAGAGAGAAGGCTACATTTTCAGCAATCAAAGCGCAACAGCCCCAGGAAAACGCCGGCTGCGGCTGCTCTGCTTTGGAACAGACCTGGCTGCTGCAACACGGGACAGTCTTCCACGCTGCTCAGGAATCGCTGTCGGTTGCTCCAGTGCCAGCATAAGAAGCAAAATCGAAAGCGTGACTTGGAAGGTTCGTCAAGTCTTCCTTCTGCGAGTTTCATTATCTTCGTTAGTAACCTCTCACTTGTAGCCTTTGTCCGCACCTAGCCTCCTGGTTCCCACAAAATGGCTTGGGTCGCTGGCTATAGATTGTGGGGGGCGACTCTTCTGTGTTCTTTGCTCTTGCAGTGCTCGAAGCCTTCCACAACGGACGAAGATCACACTCTACCCTCTACCCCCTCCCAGTTCAATTTGATGTGCTTCTTCTTGCTACTGTATGTCATGCCTGTGATGCCTGGTGGGAAAGTTTCGCGAAACAAATATTCCCGGCAGCGTCCGAGTGTCACTGATCACTCCCAACTGAACATGGAACTCGAGGGGCCGACAAGCAGGGCTCCGAGCAGGGACCTGCTTCTTCACCAGCGACATATCGAAGCGCTCATTGCTGTCTCGGCGAAAGCGTGCCTGCTGTGCACAGCAGGCAGGGCGCAAGTAAGGCAGAGCGGCCGGGCACCTCCTCCTCGGCCGCTATGCGGTCAACAGCCACCAGCAATGGCTCCGAAGAGGACAAGGCACGCAAACCCAGGACTGGACAGCCACCAAGCCTGAAAAGCTACTGCCAAGCATGGCACTCAGTGTCCCAGCGAATCCACATGCCGCTTCCGATAAGCGCAGTGCCAGGGCGAGATTCCGAAGAGGACTCGATGTGCCTGGATACAGCTATCGAAGACACTCAGCTGTGATGAGTCACGTCATCCACATTTGCCATGGAAGTCGGGCTGCCTCTGCTGCATTCACATCGCCCAAGCCATCAGCTGCGGCTTGCTCTGCAGGAGAACGGTATTTTGCCTGTCTTCTGGCGCAAGAACGGCCCATAGGCAAAGACTGCCAGAAAACAATGAAACACCACTGGAATCTGGAAACAACAAACGGCAGGAATACAAGCAAATGATGTCGTGATATTCGACAGAAGTGCAGCTGGGCTGCGAATGCCACCCTCAACACTGCCTCACATCTTACGGTACTACCGTCGCAATGTGGTAGCACTTCCTGACGGAGACCATGGCTGCAGTTCGGTTTTTCGTACGAAGGACAAACTTCTCCCACCTGCACATCGGTGACATGGAAGCCGCTGGCTACCAGCTGGGCCACTGCTGCATCCTGGCGCCTCTTCAGCTCCCTTTCTTGCACTTCCCGGCGCCGATTGTACCTTCTGCGAGTCACACTCTTGGCCTTTCCGTTGCCTGTCTTTCGACTATCGCAACTCGCACCAAGCAGGCAAAAATCCACACAGTGTCTAGCGAACACACTACACTACACTTCTCCTGATCAGAGGCGAATGCCAACTTGTACACATACGAGAACTGGACCCAACAGCAAACACTAGCTCTCCAATGCCTGCCTTTAGGCTATGGCCACAGTACAGGCAAAAGTCTCTTGCTCGGCACATTCAAGGAGTCGCCGACGCCGACCCCGGGACCCCAATCTCTCTAAGCGCTTGCGTCTTGGCAGGGGAACATCGTCGGAGCTGCTGAGAACTTGAATCAAGTCGGCATCCACGTCACGCAGCGATCTTACAGCCTCCATCTCATTCGCGAGTGGCTGCTTGCCCAGTTCACGAACCAGATGCCAGTCAGCAGGAAAGCCGTGGCAGGGAATGCAGACGATGTCGCCTGGGAGATGCATAATGCGGGCGAGAGGGTGCTGTAAGCCTACAGAAAGCTTTCAAGGGGGTGCCTTCGTGCTTTCCCAATGATCTCCCGTGTGCAATTTCGCATGCTTACGCCTACATGTGCTTGATGTAAACTAAGTCAGGAGCCGTTCTCTTTGTTAATGAACCTCTGCACGGTCTCTGCCCTCAAAGTCTGTCCAGAAGCTTGTTTATGCTGCCGTCATTTCCAGTACTTACAGATCACAAGCGCCTATGTGTAGACCTGATCAAGCCCTGGGAAGCGGAATCTTGCTCCCCTGGTGCGAAGAATACTCTATGCAGGCAGCCGGCGGCGAACATCGGGACAAGGAGTACATTTGAAGGCTTCTCCTAGCTTGCCCTGGCTGGGCAGCGCGGGGTCATGGCCCTCTGGCAGGTAGCACAGAGAACCGAGCTGCAGCCCGAAGTTGGATTCGTCTATGGTAAAGAACCGCGAGCCCGCAGCACCCGGCGCGAGGAGCTTCCAAGCCAGAGAGGTCACAGGCGCTGACTCACGACGGTCACAGTCAGTATTTGGTGCAGTTTTGCTGGCCTTGTCTTGTGCCGAGCAGAATCGAATGCCGAAGGTTGAGTTCAGAGACAGTAGCCACAGGAAGTTGCGATCGCTGAAGCCCGGCGAGGCTATCGACAGCTTCGTCCCTCTGCGAGGGTCGCGCTTCCCACCGGCTTCCGGCGAGCACACCTCCAGCATTGGGCCCATGCGGCTGGTGAACTCTACCGGGTGCTCTTTTGCGTGGAATAGGATTCCGAGCTCGAAGATCGAAGGAGACTTGCTGTGCCGGAAGAACACAAGGTGGCCTGCAGTGCATCCAACCAGAGGCACAGCTATCAACCAGCACAACATGAGACTCACCAAAGCCAGGCCACCGTGGTAGAGGTCCCACCCTGGGCTGCAACCACAGACAACATCGCGCGATCCGAGCCACAGGTACTGAGGTCGAGGCCACAGAGCTCCAGCTGGGCCTTTTGTGCGACCTCTGAGAAGAGCGCCACCAAGAAAGCCGCCACACGCGGCGAGGACACGAAAAGAGCGTGGTCGCTGCCCGCATAAGGCCTTAGTGAAATCACGGCGGAGAATTGCAGGGTGCAAGTCACAAACCGAGGTACCGTTGCAGCTCCGACACCTCCGCCTCCTGCAGCCAGCAAACCGCTTGCATTCCGAGTGCTCGCCGCTCGCGGCGGTTGGTTTCTCTCATGCGTTTACGGCGCTTCCGAGGTGCTCAGTTGCATTGGCCGACTACAAACACTACAAATTCAGTGCCTGCTCTCGGACAGGCATCCAGCAGCTGGAGATGTTCAAATCATGTCTACCGACTTCCGGGTCGTTGAGCTATACTTGTCTGGTATTGACTGCTGACAACAGACCGCCGAAACTTGAACAAATCCATACATCTCCGCCCGACCGCGAATGTACATTGAAGAGGCATTTGCCCTTCATTGGAGCTCTGTACAACTCATAAACACCGGCCGTGCTTACCTTACACATTAATCTGCCGCCTTCTGGTGGGGCTCCCTGCAAACATGCCTCTGGACATCGACGCTTGCTGAAGCTGTGGGCATGGGATCTGCGGGGTCTGTGGAGCTGTCGTTGGGTCCGTCTTGGGAAACCAAGGAATCGCAACGTTGGGACGACCGGCCAGGGCCTTCTGCGGCACAGCCTCTTCTCGACTGTCGCGACTTTGCATCATGGGAGTCATGGGAGTCATGGGAGCCGGAGGTGTCGCACAAACACGAGCAACCTTGATTTGAGGCTGCTGCGGCCGGAGGTGCACACTTCCTGGTGGCAGCAGGACGCTACGTGTTGGCGTCCATGGCATCCAGGTCCCACAATGACCAGGTCCGGTCGTGGCCAAGCCGCTTCCAAAGCCGGCCACACATCCGCTCTGCTTTGGCCATTTGTCTCCGTCGTGGCAGCTTCGAACCCCTTCCACGCGACCCGCGCTGCGAGCAGCCGTCGCAGGCTGTGCATGCACACCAACTGCAAGTTGCCATGGGACAGGTGGTGATCGTAGCGGCAACGTGGACTCCGTCAGGACGGCGGAAGCAGAGTCGCTCGCTTTCTTGGTTTCCTGTTCCGTTGGGGCTGGCGCAGCGGCTGAGATGGCTGAGGTCACCGTCTCGGCCTCTCCTGGGACTTCTGCCGGAGCTGGAGGCGATGGAGACCTGACAACGCTGCGAGTTTGCGGCTGCGGTGATCTGCGGACCCATTGCGAAGGACTGGGTGGTGACGACAGAGGTTTACAGCCTTGTGGCCTGAAGACATTTGTATGTGTCTCTTGAAGTACGTGCCTCACAGTCAGGACTGGAGAGACCACTGGACTTTTGGGAGAGGCAGCCTGCACTGCGGATGCTACAGCCCTTGTCTCCGAAGGCTTGACGGCAACGTCCGATGGCGCAGTGTCACCAGGCATCTCATTCGCTCTCGCCGGCAGCCTCACACTGCGGGCAGTTCGCACCAGGGGCCCTACGTCCTTCCTGGCAGCCCGGCACCGCTTCGCTGAAGCACTTCGCTGTATCCCAGTCTTGTCGCGCATGAGCTGGAGCGACATCCGGATGTCCCCCCCAGAAAATAATGCATCGCAAGCAGACTTGTCGATGGGGGTTTCAGTCTTGTCTTCCGGTGTCTTTGGCTTGGGGCGGTCTGACAAAGGTGATGGTTTTCCAGTCGACTTCGCAACCTTCTTCGAGGCGTTGGCCGCATCTCCTCGGGATGTCTTTCTCGCAGCCGGGGCAGCAAGCGTTGCAACACTTGTCAACACATGATGCGACTGTCCTGCTGGATCGTCTGATCGACTCTTCCTGCGGGGACAGTGCTATAGAGCTACCTCTTTCAGGAGAGGCGAGACAAGGTCAAGATGCTTCTCTCATCCTGTCCTTTGACTTTGGGCTAGAGGTGAAGACTTCATGTCCGACAGCTTGATGCCTCGAAGAAATTCCCTTGATCCGGCCTTGGTCTACAAGACACAAAGCCACGGTCTCCTGTCGCACTGCTCACGTAAATAAGTTCAGCACTCTCGGGCTCGCTTTGACGGCAGCACGTGCTGCTTGCCCGTTCTTTGTCAGTTGCCCCTCCAGTCCAAGCATCCGGTCCAGTTACATTCGCTGAACTTTTGTATGCAGCACAAAACATGTGACCTTCAGGTACTCCATGGCTGCATCTGCCTCCGACCTTTGTCCGCAGGACATGCAAGCACTCGGAGAGCCTCACGGCAGCTACAACCCTGGGTTTGCAGACAGGGAACGAAACTTTGGCCTTCTGCCGCCTCACTGGCCCCGCAGTCTTCTGCTTCTCTTTGAGGTACTGCATGACACCATCCTCACTGTCCTGCATGAGCTGTCGCTGAGATTCGGGGGGAGCCTATTACCCTCCCTTCGCTGGTCCTCCAGCACGACCATGACGAAGCAACGGGCTCAAAAGACGACTTGCACGTGGTTTGTGCGTCTTAGTTTTTGAGATAGTGGAGATTAGGACTCCAGACTCCAGACTCATGGATGCATGAATCATCTAGCATCTGGCTACCCGCTGCATCTCGAAGCCCAGCTGTTCATCGGTCACAAATTTCCACAGCGCTCCCAACTTTGAGCCCAAGCATGCAGATTGCGCGTTGCCAGGAACAGCAGGTATTGAGCTTCTGCACAAAACGGTTAGCACTCCGAAGTCCTCACCGAACAGGTCTGCAGCTGCATCCTCGGCTGCACGCTTATACCCTGCCGGCATCCACAAGCAAAGAACTTCACCAAGCATGACGAGCAGAAGCTTCCACAAACGAGCCACACTCAAGTCGCCACCAGAAGCCAGAAACTGCAAGTAGTTCGACAGCTCCTCAGTCAGTCAGTCATACGCCGCGCGGCGCGTGGACAGATATGGCTTGACGCACCGTTCGATACCAGACAGCGGGGTCATGTACAAGTCTGGTTACTTCACGGTGGCCGCCAAAATAATCAAAAGCTCTACTGCTTACTTCAGAAACCCATTCCCGTCTCGGCCGACCTAGGGACTCTTATTTATGTGCACCACTACAAGCGTGTTCTTTGGCAGCACAGGGGCTCGGCTGGTCAAACCGAGACTCCTCCGGTACGGGCAAGCTGTGCCGCACGAGTCGTTGCACTTCCTGGTCACAGGCCCGATTCGATCGCGGCGCTACACATCGCTCTCGACTCTGGCTGCTCTTCCAGCCTCTGAGCCTGAAGATGAATCGTAGGCCAGATCCAGCAGCTGAGCAGCAGGGCCCGCCAGGAGCATGGCTTCCGGCATGCCGGAGTGCCACAGTAACTCGACTATGTGACTACGACTTCTTCTGGATATATGTGCCTCAGTTTTTGACTGAAAACTGTTATCATCCAATCATCCCCTGGTTGTCAGGAGGACTGACTCATGCAGTAGGCTCGTTCGCAGTATGAAGCCTTCCACTGTCACATGCTGTGCAATGTCCGGATGCTCGAGGCACAGCTGCAGAGCTGACTCCACATCAACGAACGGTGGTGCTCATCTTAAGATGCACAGGCCTGAGGCTCGCACAATGCCGGGAAAGACCCACCAATGTAGCAAGCAACAACCTCAAATCAAAGCTCTGAAGATGCATCCACCCGACTGAATTAACAGCCCCTTGATCCTGCGAGACTTGCTGTTTCTCGGAGAGCATGCCTACCAAGGAACTTTGGGTTCCAAACCAGCCTGATGACCATGGCGCGACGTCCCCCGATCGAAAGGTCCCGCCCACCCGGCCTTTCGTGGCTAACCCCTGCCGGCTCCGACCCACGGGTCAAGGGTTGGGGAGAAGTTGGCGAGCTCTGACCGAACGGGAGCTGCAAAGTCTAGTAGGGCCCCGAAATCTTGCCGGATTCTTTGCAGGAGTGTGCACAGATTTTCAGGGGGTCTCCAGACCATCATGCAGATTCCTCTTGAAGCTGACTGAATAAAGACGACACGTGATATTGGCACACCCAGCTAGGGTCTATCGGTAGCAAGTCGAATCGACGACTGTCAAGGACTCAAGTAGCGTCGAGATGATATGTACTCCTAAGGCACAACCATCGACGTACTCCTAAGGCACATCCATCGACGTAATTTAGGACGCTGTGCACGCTCACTGGCTCGAACTCCTGGTGCTACCTTGTGCTACATGGGCGTTTGAGCTAAGACCTGAAAAGAGCACTTGGAGACCCAATTTCGTTAAAAACGCCTCCGCTTTCCAACAACCACTCCAATTCACGACATCATCACCAACAAGTCCCTCCGGTGCTCCCGAGAAGCCGGATCAGTCCCTCGGCGCTTCCTGTCAAAGACAGCGCTCTCGTAGACCTCGGGTTTCAGGCTCCTACTGGAGCTCCAAGTACAGTCCATGGCAAAGTCTTACAAAACGCCTCCAGCGAAGTCTGCATGGAAGCAGAGTCCAAGGACGTCCCACGCATGACCTTGCAAGCACAGCAGGAGGCTCCAAGCTGGCAACGCTTCGCAATGCAAGTGTGCCCCTACCTTATCCAGCATGTAGGTCGTAGTCCTGACATATTCAGGGAGCACCTGCCGAGAGAGGCAAGCTGGCTGCTGTGAGCGACAGCATGGTGAGGAGAGGGGGGGAAACGCCTCAGATGATCGTGTCACCGCTAGTGCTTCCACCGCGCGTGCAGCAGCAGTTGCAACATCCTCGCCCTGAGCCAGTGAGATCAAAGCGACTACGGCGGGAATGACCAGACCATCCATCGTATCGACATTGTGACCATCGTTGTCTGGACAATCCTTCGGATCAACACCTGCTCGCCATTTCTGGAAGAACATGCGGTGGCAAGTGGAAGCATAAGTGTCGTTGTGCGTACCAGGTGTCGTCATGAACTCAATGTATCGCTGTCGAAAGTCGCTCGCCGAAAACCTACCGGTGCTCCTCAGGCTCCGCAACACAACCCGCGCAAGCGATGCTTCCAGCGTGTTTTCACCAGCATCCAAGGTATGATGATAGTGAAACTGGCCACCACGGCGCCAGTATTCCTTCTTGTCCTGCAGGATTGTTCCTCCGACTACATCTCCTTCGTTGCTTCCTCTGCCACCTCCTCCGGTGCTGCTTAGCTGCATGATGGAATCCGGGAACGGGTGAACTGAACGCTCAAAACCGGACAGCAGCTTGCCACCGAAATCCTCTCGAATCTGATCTGCCCCTCCGTAGTACCAGTGCCTTGTTTAGTGCATGCGACAAGGCTGACAGCAGTCGATCACAGCGAAACCCAACACACCTTTGCTCCAGCCATGGCGCACAGGCATTGCCAGAGCATCACCAGCAAAGAGACCCCACAAGGCCCCACTCGCTCTCTCGGCTACTGACATGGATGCCACGAATGTGCCCAAGAACTGCTTGACCTTGAATAGCACCGTCTAAGGCTAAGGATGTGTTCAAGCATCGCGTCCTTTCCGCAGATTGAGGCGAGCGCCAGCACCACAAGCCACATGCTGAGTCGCCCCATCATGGCAGGCACGCCGCACTCAGGGTCTTCAGCCCAGAAAGCACAAACGTACACCAAGTATTGGCTCAATTTCGATGGTGGTTGCTGCTAAGGCACGCAACTGCACAATGGCTGAGAGAAGCAGGAACATGGCTCGGGCTCTGCAGACGATCGACACTGTAACTGCACAGCCTTCAGTCCGAGTCCGACACACATGAACAGCCGGTCTTTGGTGAGACCGTTTGAGAATTTCAAAGCGCATTTGCCTGAGCATGAAGTGCGCAGAGTGACGGTGCCTGAGCCCAGGAAGGCACAAGCTTAACTCCATCGCCCCGAGCGATGCACTGAAGTTGAACCTCGGCTCAAGACAAGGCAGAGGATGCTGCAGCATGTCTTCACAAGCCTTCATATCCGGGGGAGCGACTCTTCAACATGCGTTAAACCTCAGGTTGAAGCACAACCACCATCAACCAGGCCAGCAAGCCGGCAGTGACGTCTCGAAGGCCCACACTGTGAGCGGGCCCCTGCAGCTGGGAACGTGCGTCTGCTCGGCAGCTTATCGCAAAGGCCTGGAGGGAGACAGCACAGAATTGCCCGTGTGATTTTCCATGCTTTCAGCGTATCTGGGGAACGTGCATCGGAAATGTTGAAGTGTGGCCTGGCAAAAAGTTCGATCAACCAGGGCGAACATGGTGGCGAGTGTCCTCATGCGAGGCTGGTGAAGACCCTCTTCCACCTCGATGTCAGGATTCTGTACATACAGAACATCGGGATTCACGGATCATCTGAGGAAATCTCCTTCCAGCCAATCCTGCAAAAGTTCCTGAGCAGTCGCTGCACGAGCATCACCAGCTTCCACCCCGCAAGGCCCTTCATCAGTTCTGCAGCTGGAATTCGAAACATTCAGGGTCTGCTTCTTTCCCATGACTTCAGTAATGTACCGGGTAAAAGCGTCCCATGCCTCACAAGAACCACTCGGAAGGACAACGACGTGCGCATGTGAGCGCTCACGGACCTGTGGCACTTCGTCTGCATTCCGCTTCGCGAGATTGTGCTGGAAGCTAGCAGCATCTGCCAGCAACAGCTCAGCCTCATTTGGACCATCATTGCAACACGTGAACTGTCGGAATCTACCAGCATCTTGGCCTGAGCTCCTCACTGTGTACATCCGCTGCACCACCGCGGCGGTGTTCGCCACTTAAGTGCAACATGAGAGTCTACTGCAAACCATAGCCAAGTGGCGACGGCAGCCCCAAACATCCCGAAGGCCATTTGCAAGACGCTAGGAAATTGCAAAGCACAGTGTGATGAGCTGGCGAAAGCCGTTGAATCAATCTGTCCTCGGTTCTCGTTTTATCTCCCCAGCCTAGCGGTCTCGAGTTCTGCTTGGATCAGTCTTGCAATTGCATGCTGTCCAAGACAGAAGAGGCTGCAAGCCTCCGCATCTCCGCAGCACGACTGCTTGACCCGACTTTTCTGCCACATCAAGTGGTGTTCTCTGTGCAGCAGGGCATTGACGCGGAAGGGCCCTTCTCTGCCATGCATGACAGGCTGGGCGAGTTCTAAGATTCCTTCCACGGACACCGTCAGAAAGCTCTGACAACGGAATCGCTGCTGAGTCGCATGCTGCCAGCACAACATACGGTCTACATCTGCGCTGCATGTTTTGGATGTGCTGACAGCATATTGCACAAGCACGGCTTCAGTGCCCGACAGAAGCAGCATCGCACTGCTCCTGCCAAGTGACTACATGACATGCGCGTCTGCCTACAAAGCATGCAGGCAATCGCATGCAAACAGACAACAAAAGGTGCAGAGTGGGAGACGGATGTCGGCCGAAGGCTCCTACAACTTGCTAGCCGAAAGCAATGACCACTAAAATAGGACTGAAGCGAAGAAGCCACAGCCCAAAAGCGCGACAGCCGCCAATACACTTCAACACGCCAATCAGAAGCAAAGTGTTGCGACCAAGCTGCAGCAGCTTAGGATGACTTGCTCCGCGCTTTCTTTCTCCTCTCCCCTGCCAGCTTACCAGCTTACCCTTGCAGGACTGCTGCTTGGATCCCCAACTTGTCCCCCTGAGCACCAACCGATCTTGGCTGAAAGTGGGAGGGCGCGCCCTTTTTGGACTTCTTTTTTTTGCCTCAGAAAAGACGTTGAAATCAACAACCGCCTACTCTGCAAGAACGGTACTTGCAAACTTCGCAAACTGTCATCCCCCTCTGCCAAGGCACGGCATCTGACAGTAGTATCAGTAGTACTACTGGCAGACAAGAACAATAACATAACAACTGTGTTGGCACTGTACGCTTCCAGATGCGGGCGTGTCAGGCAGTTTCAACAAGAGGAGAACGAATCACATCTGGGCATCGAATCATCACTGCTTTGGCCACGACTGGATGCGAGCACGGTTTCGTTTCAGCTGTGCAACACCGGGTGGTAAACGCAGTAGTGACTAAGCTCCTGACGTGGTGCATCCTCCTCATCATCCTCTTCCGCAGCCTCTTCCTCGGTCCCTTTGTGTTTTCGCCTTATTTTCCGCGACACCATGCAGAGCCACAGAGCAACTAGCCATTGCAGAGGGCCCCGCTTTTTGTTGCCTTTTTTGGCCTAGCGAAGCCGCGCGTGTTTTTTTGCTTGACGGGAGTATACAGTAAGTGACTCTGACTCTGAGAGTTGGGTCAGCTTGCCGATTTTCATATCCTCCTTCCTCCGGCCTTGTCCTTCTTCTTTTTCTTCTTACCTCACGGAGCCAAGGGCCAAGGGCCAAGGGCCCAGCCCAGGCCGCAGCTGTTGGGGGCTGTGCCTGTATGCGTGGCCAAGTGGTCCACGAAGATCTCAAAGCATTCTTTTCGAGTCTGCTCATCCACAGCCTACCGAGGGATCTAACTCACTCGACATCGCGCCAGTCCGTTTCCGCACAAGGTCCGCGCCTTCCAGGCTGCCCTCTTACTCAGAAGACCTTCGGCATCCTGCGACCAGCAGAGGTCGGGCCAATTCACTGCACCAAAGCGGCGAGGCACTAGCTGCACGTCTCCTCATAAGTGGTGCCGGCTGAGATCTCTTTTGCCCTTAGCTTCGACATACGCCAAGACCGTGAGAGTACACTGACATACTGAACACAGCAATGATTCCGGACCTTTTCCCGAACTTCCAGGGAATGTCTGAGCATCGGGCTTCATCAACAAATCCACGAACCTTTGCAGCGTGACGAGAGGTGACAGCTTCAGAGCTCCGCATCTATAGGGCAGAATCGTGTGCATGGGGTTTTGCCATCCGAAGCACAGCAACCGCTGAATAGGTCTGAGAGCTCAAAACAACAGACAGATATGGAACTCAATAATTCGGGATGAAAAGTTTAAAGCAGCAGAAAGAACAACAACAACCACAACAACTTCATCGTGCAAGCAGCAACTGTTACAGTTACAGACGGAGTACAAAATGACACGCCTCACCAGGATGGGCAATGAATTCCACGCCATAACGCCACGAAAACGAAAAAGCGCATTGGTCACAGCAAACGCCCATTTCGTAACAAAAACAAATCACAGGAACTCGCACGAGGCCGAGATGCTGCGTCCGGGTCTTCTCCCCATCCTCATCGTCACCTCATGGTGATGACATGCGTCGTCAAGATGCCGAAGTCAGACTTAGCTTTGAAGCTGGGGGCAGGACCGTCTTCGTCGTCCTCCTCCTTATCATCTGGCTTGTCCTCCTCCTTGTCATCGCTATCGTCGTTCTCTTTGTCACCTTCCTTGTCACCTTCCTTGTCGCCATTCTCTTCCTTCTCGCCGGACCTGGCTGCATGCCGTAAGATCTGCATACCAAAGCAGAGCCAGACCGGGGCCGGAACTTTTTTCTTGGAGCCGGCCTTCCAACGAAAAATGACGACAAGCCAAGTGCTGAGAAGAGGTGAAAGGCTCGGACCCGCCGCCGGCATCTGCATCTGCCTGCCTCATTGTAGAAAGCCTACGCCTCACAAGACCTCCGTTTCTGTTTGGACAACTTCTGCTCGGCTGGAAATGTTTTCTCGCATCTGCCGAATGGTATGTGGCAAGGCAGGGTGGGCTGAATTCATCGAAAGTCTGAAGGCCACAGCGACAACAAAGCTGACCTTACGATATGGGTCCAAACATGCTCCAGGCTGCCGAAACTCTCAAAGCGCTGGGACGACAAGAATCCCCATTTCTACAATCACGGCACTCAGCTGTCACCTGGCTGAGTCCAGGCAGACGGCATCACCGGCTGTGAGTGAAAAGCGGTTCACTTGAAGTTTCCAGAACCGGAAGAGTCGAAAGCCGAAGCTTGGCCGACAAGAACTACGTCGCACGCCGCGGCATGCGAGAAAATCTTTCTTTCATGTGGGGCACGAACCCTTTTTGAAGGCTGTCGGGGCAGCACATCAAATCACAAGTTGAAGCTACGATGACCTAGAATTCACCCTGCATGCGGAAGCCTTTCTGCCTGAGCATGTCAGGAATCTGGCCTCAGTAGTGCACAGCAGCAGACGAAGCTGGCAGCAATCGGAATGTCAAGAGCACCATCCCCATTCCGAGGCCAAGTCTGTAGGAGTACTGTGTAAGGTCGATCCTCTCCTGTTTGGGTGGCGAAGCGCCATGTCAACAACTCGTTTATGCCGTAAGCTGCGAGTTGAGAGGAAGGATGCCTGTGAATCGCGAGGCTCTTGGGCTTCAAATTGTAAGCCCAAGGAGATGCTAAGGCTGCAAGGTTGTTTTTCTCTCGCAGCGCTTGCTAATGCAAGAAGGATCGCGCGGGGACTGCGGAGCTGCACGTGTGAGCATGGAGCAGTACAGCAATACAGCCGGGTCCTTTTCATTTCCATTCTCTATGACGATGAGATCGGGGTTGTGCCCTTGCACCCAGCGAACCTGCCGACAAAAAACTAACCTTGCTTCGTCTCATCTACCAGGGAGTTCGTGGACCTCCATATTTTGCCATTCTTTCCAGCGCTGCTCCTCTTTCAGCCACCGGCGGACGTCAGCAAAGTGATTCAATTTTCAGCCTGGACATGCAGAAGGTCTACAATGACGGTGGGGACCGGTTTAGGCCATATGGCAGTCAATGAAGCCAAGACGCCCTGGCACGACATGATCATGCCTGAGTTTCTGCACTGGTACTTTGCATGCTGCTGTTTGCACGGATGAGCTCATTGCCAATTGAGAGAAGCTGCCTTTTGCGGCAGGCTTCGAGTCTGCTGCCGCATCTAGCATCGCACAGCTGCGCTCTTCGCAGTGCCCATCCTGTCAGCAGCGACGTTTCAATGAAAAGCACTTAGTGTTGCATGTAGTCACGATGCCGCCAGCTGACTGATTCGATGGCTACCCATGACAGACGGATTCTGATGATACCTGATGAGTACCGGCCGGGACACTGCATCGCATGACTTCGCCATGCAGAATTTGCCATCTTCTGTTTTCGCCTGGATTTCACCACTGCATTGCCAGGAGTCCTGATGAGCTGTTTGCGCCTGGCCTTCGCCTCCGCCACGCCCACCAGGCTTGCCCCAAGCAACAGGGCAAACGCCTCGGCTGCGACTGCAAAGCAACAACAGGCTGACAACAGCCCTGTTGACCGGCCCTCTGCAGCTGTGCCACTGCGGCGCTGGCCACCCTGGTCGCCATTGCTACCACAAGACCCCTCGGGCCAACACCCTGCAAGAAACAGAAACAGCTTTCAACTGAAGCTCCTGCATCCTGCACATTTTCGACCGTCCTTGACGTTTCTGTAGAATGGGTTACCAGGAACCATGTCTGGGCTGGGCACGCATCATCCGACTGTCTCGCGGCCTTAACATGACTCAATGACAAACACGAAAGCAAACCGTAAGGAGCGTCGTAAGTCCTCTGCCCCAAGGTCTGGATCATCAAAATCCACCTTTAACCAGGCCTCAGCTCTCTGTCGCTCACTGCATTCTGCCTCACAGGTCTCTTTGCAAACGTTGCTGAGGTGCAACCCTGTCGGTTGGAGCCTGGTTCTGTTTCAGCTGCATCGGAACCTTGTTCGGCACATGTCAAGTCTGGGGCTACTCGCGTGGGAAACGAAACGATCAAATCGAGAGATTCAGGCTCCCACCAGGATCTGTGCACCATGATACAGCTGCACATCCTGCACGCCACGTGTTACAAATATGCGCAGACCACAAGCCAGGATTCGGACGAGCGAGCGGGTCCCGGGCCTTCTCTTTCTTAGTCTGAACCTGAGCAGTTCAGTCAGCCTGCTGAAAGCACACATCTAGAAGTTTCACGCGTGCCCCTTTTTCGGCGTCGATGCACCGATTAGGCAATCTCTTCGCGATGCCGTCGCCTATTCAACTAGGCATCGGTTGGCTCACATTTCGTCAAGCTGCGCCCTCACGAGGTTGCAAGGTCGTCCGGTCTCTCGCCAGCATTATTGCGCAAAGCACGTGAGGCACCGTGAGCAACTAGCACATTTGCTGCATCGTGCCTGCCATGAACCAGAGCACAGTGCAGAGGCGAACATCCGTCCTTCGTGCGTTGCACATTGGCGCTGCATCTTGCCTCCAGCAGGAGTCGCAGCAGGCTGGCATGCCCCGCGTTAGCAAATCCAAAAAGCAAAGTGTCCTTCACGTCCTGAGACATGTCCTCTTTCAATTCAGTAGCCAGTGCACAACGGCTGGAGTCGTCGTCCTGTAGACGGAGGAGTCGCCGCTTTTGGGCGGAGACTCGCAGGCTGGCATCCGACTGTTTCGGTACAATTTGCCGCAGAGCATGAATTGCACGAACTGTAGCCGCAACGCCAGACTGCCCAAAGTGGAAGTGCTGTCCAAGAGCCTTGTAAGCGGCATCCTTGCCAAGCGATAGGCGCACACACTCGAGAAGCACGTGACCTTGCTCGCGTAGCATCCGTAGTTCCGGTGAGCCTGGTATCCCCAATGGTTCTCGAGACCCTTTCTTGGTCTGCTCGGTCGCCCCGCACGTGGTGCAATGCCAGATGTCATCCCCCCTCGCTAAGAAGCGAAGTCCAGTTTGTGCGAATTTGCCACAGATCGGGCATGTGCAGGAGAGCTCTAATCGGCAAGGTTCTCCGGAAGAAAAGAGTTGCATCCGCTCGCCACAGAAGCACCAAACCGTCCAACCAGCATCAGAGTCTTGGGGTTTAGTTGCTAGGCCGTCGTTCTGCTCCCAGTGCTTGAACACATCGTCGTCTGGAGCACACCAATGGTAGTCCACCTGCGAGTCATCTGCACGAAAATGGAGTGGCGCTTCCTGAGCCAGCACATGCTGTGGACAAGGGGGCATGGGGCACGCATGCCGCTGGCATGCGCTTCACTCCCTGTACGAGTACTACACACAAGATTCACCCAACGTGTAGCAGCAACATGAGTCGCAACTACTGTAGTACTGCAGATGCCAGACACTGAACAAGCAATCGGTTCACAGATCTGTGAACATGGCTCTGGATCAGGAAGCGCCCAGGACTGGATCAGCAAAAAGTTGGCAGAACCAGCAGGTTGTGGCCGAAGATTCAGTTCCGAGGGTAGCCTGCGAGCCCGCTTTTGTGGAAGCTCCGGATCGCCCGAGGAGGAGGCCGGCTTCTCATCCATTGCACTGCTTGGACCACTTCACGAGCCGGAAAAAGCCAACTGCACAGAACGCTGCGAGAAGAGTCAGAAATCTCATCTAGTCGTCACCCACATTCCACCTTTTGAAGCTGGTCTAGACTGTCTACACTGTGCAAAAGTTCAAGAGGTGCCATGGTCCATTGGTTGGGGCCCTCGCGGAATCAAGTCTACCGGAACAGCCCCTGGCATGTTTTACCAGCGCACAGCTTTTCCGCATGACGATGTCGATTGGATGTGTTGGCTCAGAAGTTGCGATGCCGGCAGACGTGCGGCGGCGACAGCAGGCCTGGGGCCTGCAAGTACGACCTGCAGGCAGAAGGGCATGGCCGGCAGATTTATTGCTTATCTTCGGGGTGGTGGTTAGTAAGCCCGAATCAAAGCAAGCATGCTTTGCATGCCGTGCGGCATGCGTTGGCCAGCAAAGGTGAAGCTCCACATCAAAGTCCGTGCTGAAGCTCGCCAAATCTGCTCGAAGCATGCTCACATCCAGTAGGCCTTCGAGTCCTCTGGGCAGATTTCCGGAAGTCTCGCAATGGGGCTCCAGCAATACTTGGGCACCATCTTGAAAGGACTGAGCAAAAAGCAACTCACAGTCTTCATGTCCGAGGTCGTGAAGCCTTTGCCATGTCGCCCCTTGCCCTGGCGCTTGTATCTGCCGAATGCAGTCACCTAACCTTAGGTCAGGTTGGCCAGGTGAGTCTTCTATCTCATCCACAACCATCCCGTGCCAGGACGGCCGCAGATGAAGACCAGCCCCAAGCTCGGAAGAGACCCGTAAACGAAGCTTACGTGGAGCTTCGCACTCGAACAATCCAGGTGGCGCAAATTCGAAAATTTCCGTCACAGCGCCTGTATAGCCACGGCGCTGGTTGCCATCCACACGGGAAGGTGCAACTGCACGGACTGCGCGCACATGCCAACGTCCAGCTTCATTTTGCTCTACCAAGCCCAAAGACTTGAGCTGCTCAAGAACGAAAGACAGAGCATCTTGCGGCGACATCGTCATATCCACCCGAACGTGGGCAAAAAAGTCTGCCACCTCCGCATCTGTGATGGGCTCCATGAGTTTTGCTGTGCATCGCAGAATCGACGATAAGTCTGTCCTGGCTAAAGCATTCCTAAAGAACACATGTCCCAAGCAATCCACGACTCAACATGCAGATAGCTTCGTAGGGCCTGCTCCCAGAAAGCGTCTGGTGATCCCCACGTTGCTGTACACGAGCTTCACAGAGCTGCAGAGCGGCAGGTCCTGCATCACCTGCCAAATCGCCAGGGCCGCTACGAGTTCAGACTTTCGAACCCGTACCCGGAAAGGCGATGCATTCGATTTGTTGTTGCGTCTTTACGGGAGAGAGAAGACATCCCCGGCAAAGGGATGGGCGCGCGCGTTGTCTCCGCCCCCGATGGGGTCAAGACGCAAGCGGGGCACCGAGCTCCGAAAACGTCATGGCCGCGTGCACGGCACCCTACTGCTGCAACCTGGATTGAAAATAAACAGGGATTCCTTGATCCCAGCTTTGCGATTCGGAAAAATCCGATGGCATAGAGGTGAGTCCCAGATGCAGGGACAAGGGAGCCAGCCGCTGCAACCCGAAGTTGGCTTTGTCACAAGGGGCAGTCTCGAATCTGCGACCCGGTGTGCGTTCCGCAAGGATCCGCAAGGCTGCTTATCAATGAATTGTTTTGTACATTACCACGAAGGAACATTTAGAAGCACATGCAGGTCGCAGAAATCCCCAGAGGAAGCGTCGGTACTGTCGCCCTAGCAGGGGACTGGGGAGGGTGGGGGGTGCTCGTCGGGATCACATCCCTTCCCGGGGTCGGGTCCACACCCACCCTTGTAATCCCTCAGCCCGATCAACTGCTAGGCCCGGGGGTGCGTCATCTTTACATGTCAAACCGAACGAAATTAGCACATACCCAAGAAATCGTCCTGGAGGGTCGACGGGGTGGAAGAGCGAAAGCAGCACAGCGGCACCATCACCATCGAGAACTTCCAAAATTTCCCCTCGATGGCGACGGAGGGAGTTCACTCGATCCAGAATAACCACCGAGGAAGCTGCCTGCCGGACCTGGAACAGGGCGGTGCAGTGACATTTCCAAATGGCTTTACAAAGAATGCCTCGTCCAGGAACGAAGAGCGGCGCGCGTCCTTGCCGTGATGTGCGTAGTCATCTTGACCTTCGCTCACCATGCTTCGTCTGGAGATGCAGCAGGTGCAACATGTCCAATGCAAGGTCATGAATATTTCAAGGAACTGATGCAGACCGCGTCCAGCTCAGCAGCCAGCCCTCGCGCCAAAGTGCTTTTTCCGGACCCCATGATCCCTCGCAGGACGAGCCTCTCAATCTGCAATCCAAATGCTCTTTCGACAGAACACAGCAGACGGCAAGGCTTCACTACCGATAAGTTTAACAGCTCCTGACACATCCAGCTAACCTCCTTCGCGTGCATCTTCAGCGTAAGCCTACAAAGACATTGCAAACTTTCACCAACCCATTGCAAAGACTGCACACCGATGGAAACCAACGAGGTTGCACGGCTAGGAGCTTAAGGTTGTCATCAAACATGGTAGGCTGGTGCCACGATTCAGGCACCGAGCTTGGTGATTGCCAAACTGCCAGTGATGCGACGGACGTGTCACCCGTAAATCCTCCAAAAACTGTTGTCTAGTCGACGGTCGCGGCCCAAACGAATGGCCGATGGGATACCAGTAATGCGAGGAAGCAAGTGCTGCTGAATACGGAACGATTGGTGTCGGTCCATCGGTTTATGTCACACACAGCCTGCTGATCGGGCCTTCGCGCCCTCTCTCCACAAGCCGGTTGGAGACAGAGGCCCATTCGGACTGGTCACCAACAAAGCTTTCGTATGCCACCCTATCAACATGAGACTTGACCCACGTTGGGCTGACCTGCATGACAACGCCGTTATGCTCCGTGCCTGATTTTGCGACAACACTCGACACATTTCAAATTCTCACCACGAGTAACGGTAACGAAGCACAGCTGAAGTGAACTTCTCTTTGCGTATTGCACGACAGTTCAACAAGAGCTCGCGACCCTGCATCATCTGTTTGTTCGGGTTCCTTCCCCAAGCGTTCCCACACGCGGCGATCGCTAAGAGCAGCGGAAACTCCCCCCCAACTGCAGAGCCGCCAGCATTTATCAGTGTTGCGCCCCCGCACTCCGATGCGTGCTGTGCCGCTTAAAAGTCCACACCGATGGCAAGCGAAGCAAGACAACCAGACTTCCCGGCACCTCAGCTGCCAGCTGCCCCTCTGGGGAGCAACAGGTCTGGCTGCTTGCGAAGCCAGCACTGCAGGCACGGCAGGGGCTCCGGAGACAGAAGTTTCCAATGCCGCCAGCAATGCTTCACCACTCACTGGTGCATTCCTCAGCTGAAAAACAGGTGGCACTGTTTGTTCTGCGGAACTCGAGCACAAGCCGCTGCTGCTGAAATCTGAGCGGCAGCTCTTGTTGCCTCCCCCAAGCAACGAACACAGTGTCTGCTGAAGGTTGCCCTGTCGTCTTGTCAGTGTGGCGCTTTACGTCAGCAACGACTCCACCAATGTCCAGCCGGTTGCCCGCATGCAGAAGACGCTGGCAACCCTGGATTCGGGCCGACAAAACTTCAGAAGATTTCGAATTTCGACATGTGCTGTCTGTCTGTCTGTGCTGTGGTCCGGCCTCTGGGCTGGTGAAGGTCACCAGAGCGCATCCAATGGAGTCATGCTTTTGGACGTGCAGAATGTGCCGTGATCTGGTGAGTGCTGCTGACACTTTCTCCCTCGTCTGGTCGATGATCTGCCTGCCCCGTCGCAGTACGTCACTGTGCTCCATCGCAAAAACCTGGCAGAGTTGGAAAAAATCAATCCGATATTATCAAGAGGGTGGGATTTTCGGGCTTGCCAGGGGCCATAGTTCGGCCTCTACGTTGCCTTCAATTCCGAATTTCCCACACGCTGGGTGTCTGATCCGCTCGCCACGCTTGTCTTGAAGCCTCTTCCAGGTTCTGACAGTGTTTGTACATAATTACACCAGGCTTTTGTATCGCTAACCCGTGATTCTGACACATTCTGCCGGGACGCTAGGCAGCTGTGAAACCCTCCGGAGCTATTAGAGTGGTGGTGAAGACATTTCACTAGCCAGAAAGTGTTCCGATCTTGGAGCAGTCGATTTGGCTTTTACTTGTGGGAGTCACGGGCAAAATCCAAAGCGGCCCCGGCAGCGAAGGCCTCGTGTGCAGCGGAGATCCACGGCGCTATGAGTGTTCCAGAAGGTAAGTCTTTCACGAGCTCGCCAGCCAGCACACCGAAACACGTGTAGTAGTCGCAGCCCTCCGATGTCTGACACCACTGCTTGGCCATCGAAGCTGACATGTCCACTAGTCTGGCACTAGGCACGCTGTTCTTCCTGACGGGACGTAGAAGCGTTGTCACAAAAGTATAGCGAGGAAGCTTCCATTTCACTCGGACAGATGGCCGGTCATTGTAGTGGTAGTGCATGACCAAGCCCTCCAGGGTATCGGAATCGATCAAGTCTGCGTGTTCCCGAAACTGTTCTACCGGCAAGCCGTATCGAGCAAGCAGGCGCATCGTCGTCTTCGCAGTCAGAAAATCACGCATTCCTTCCAGCTCACCCACGACTCGCTTCACCTTGCCCGACGGGACCTCCAGCACCTGCACACATCGCAAGCCACTATCCTTCGCAACAGAACGAATTTCCGCAGGAGGTAAATGCAACAGCAACGAAGCATCTTCCGTCTCCGGGCTATACTGATTGTCATACTTGCCTGCACAGGTAATCATGACCGCTTCCTTGCGGTAGGCATATCCATGTCCTTGGTCGGACATGCTCAAGCACTCGCCGCAGAGGTAGGTCTGGCTGTCCGCCAGGCGACGGATAACAACTGGGAGGGCTTCGCCCAGTTCTGCAGCAATCACATCTGCAGCTAGTTGCGTGAAGTCCTCAAGATAGGACTGGCTGCAGTTGGCACTGTTCTTCGATGTTACGACCCAGTAGTATTCATCCTTGTGTGAAAATGCCAGCAAGGCAAACAGAAAGCCAGACCACTTGATGGTGAGCGAAAGGTGCGAAACGCCATCTGTTGAAAGCGATCTGTACTCTGCATCGTTCTTGAATTTCGGATAGAAGCCACAGAGGTGCAATCGCCGACCCGGCTGCCAGATAACGGGATATCCCCGTGGGAAGCAATGATCCTCACCTAGATTTCTCAGCAGCTCTGTGTCCTTGCATGTGATCATGATGATATAGTAATCTTCCAGGTTGAGTCTCCAGATGTGTACACGAAGCTTCTCATGGCACTGGAGAAGCCCGTGAAGCCGTCGAGCCCGGGGCCCTCCAGAGTCCCAAAGGGCCTGCCGAAATTTGACTTTCAGGCTCGGATCCTCATCCCACACCGGCAGCAGCTGCGTCACACCTGCCCTGGCCATTGCCATCCGTGCGCTGGTGCTGGGCAGCTGGGTGGCTGGGCGGCTGGGCGGCCCCTTCTTGCAAAGACCCTGTCCCGGCTCCAGGCCCACTGCGGCCAAGCGCACACGTGAAACATGCACAGACTTTGAACACGAGCTAAACCAAAAAACAAGCAACCGTTCCAATCAGCGGCTCTCGATGCATGTGTGGCCTGGCAACGCCAAGGGTGCGGCAGCTGGCTTGTCACCATGTTTCAGACCAGTCCCGTTCATGGAGAGGTCTCGCACCTAGCACAAAGACGACCAAAGACAAGTAGGATCAGGAGTTCTTGCGTGTACTCCGGTCTTCAGTGGCCACTCGTGCTGAGCGCATCTCAGCGCCAGACCACCAATCTTGGCGGGCTGTCCTCATCCTGTTCAGCTCATGAACTCTATTTCCCTTCCATGGCCTGTTCGTTCTGATCGATTGATTGAAAATGTCATGCCATCTGTGCCTTTTCTTGCCGAACGAGTTGGCGAGAGTCTCCCATTCAACGTTTGAAAGAGAAAGCCCTGTCCATCCCTTCCAGTCATCCTTGCTCCCCTGTCTTTGTGCACCCTTCCTCGTCGACGTTCCACACCGAAGCCCGACCGGAAGCTGACGGAAGCTGCAAAGCAATGCCCCCACATGAAGTCGGTTCGAGTAGCTCGAGTCGTTCAGAATACGATCAAGCACTTAGTCAAACAAGACTTCACTGACAGGAACGAATCTCCCGCATGTCGAAAGAGCTTTAGATGGGTAGCCCGAAGCATTGAAGAACCATGAAAAGGTACCCTGAGCCCTTCTTGATTCGTCACTCGTCCTTTGGAGGGAGAACACGGATCTCGGCATGGAACTGCCTTGGATTTCAGCACGAGAGGCAGACACTGAGCCGCTACGTTCCGCAGATCTTTGCAGCCTGGCCGCGAGCAGCCTCGAAGTTCCACCTGGATGTCGTTTCCGGGAGCTCTGCCTCAAAGCCAAAATGAGTTTAGGCCTTGTGCTCTTAGAGTCTTGTAAGATCAGGCAAGGTGTGGCAGTCGCTCTTTTAAAGCAGCTTCTGTCGGCCGCCCTTCTGCGGCTGTGCTTTGAGCAGCTCTTGCAGCCTGAGTCGGAAGCTGTGCATTCCACAAAGCCCTGCCACAATCAAAGTCTCACTTCAGAGCATTGCGGGAACAAGCACGTCCCTGTCTGAAGATTCATCTGGGCCACCTCCCGCGGCAAGCCCCCACCTGGACAGTCTTAGCATGCAGACCAAGCTGTTTTGCCTGAGCTCCCTTTATCTGCCAGGCCACTGCAAGCTTGAAAGAAGGAATGTCCGGATGTAACTCCTTGCAGGTTCTCGGTGCACTTTGCATTGGATCCGCCACGAAGGCACGCAAGGGTCTTGTCACCGTTGCCGATGCAATGACACAAACACGTACTTACAGCGGAGGGACATTTACGGGCCCGAGGCCCTCAAATGACCGAAAGCTCGGCGATGTTTGACCCGGTAAATGTTCGCCCGGCAGGTCAGCTAACTGTTACGCGCGAGAACTGTAGCAGTAGCAGAAGTAGTAGTAGTAGTAGCAGCAGTAGTACTACAGCAACAACCATGGTTCGAGCAACCATGGGTATGATGATAATGGTTCTGCAGTTGCACATGCGTCATCCTCCCGGCCCCTTACCCCACCCCTGGCAGCCCAAGCAGGAACAATTACCTTCGAGACGTTGTCGTGGAGTATGCTTGAACCGCATACAACAAGATTCTACACTGGTGTCTTTCTTGCAAAGTATGCTAAGACCACACGTTTCAGGCCGCAAAAGTCAAACAGTCGTCGTCGTCGTGGTAGTGGTGCCAGCAGCAGTAGTAGTAGTAGTAGTAGTAGTAGTAGTAGTAGTAGTGGTGGTAGCCGCCACAAGTGCTCAAGCGGCCGCGCTGAATAGGAGGTTTCGAACAGGCTTGGGGCGCAACTGCTGTGCTAGAGGTCCCTACCGGGCTCCTTTTCCGAACAGTAAAGGTTTGTGCCTCCCTCTACGCCATGGTCCTCTCCTTATTCCTACAGGAGCTGCTTTGAGCCGCCAGGTCCCAATTCGTCGGCCCAGACTCTGTTTAAAACATTGCATCGCTGGGTAGGCGGTAAGGTTTCCACTTCCGCGCAGTGGAGGGAGTCATTAGGCTTCTGTCTCTTGGCGAAAGTAGCGGATGGCGCAATTGCCAGTGCACTCACAAAACTTTGCATCTCTTCGCAAGAATTCGTTCCAGACAGCATGTAGACGGACAATACGAAGTGACGGGCCCGTACCATACCGAGGGCAGGTCTTGACACCTACCCTGGTCGACCGTCTGGGGGTCCGGCCCCCACCAACTCGAAGAGAGCTTCAGTCACAGACTGCTGACTCCCTGCATATGGCACAGCCTCCCGCAGGGCAGGACGACTAGAAAGATCCATTAGGGTCGTCTCGTGGAATGCGGGACACCTAGGTCAACAGCAATGGGGAGAATTAAAAATGTGGCTAGCAGCTGAAGCATCCAACCACTGTGACGTGCTCATCCTGCAGGAAACACACTGGACGGAGACAAGTGAATTCAGTGTTTCAGGTTGGTACTGTATTTCTTCGGCCTCAGCTTCTGCCAAACGAAATCCCCCGCAGAAGCAGGGTGCCAAGCGGAAGTCCAGACAGGACTCGAAAGAGGGACCATCCACGACAAGAGCGGATGGAGTTATGATTCTGTTCTCGCCCAAATTCGCAGCTAAGAGCCTTCGCTGGAAGGAATGGAGCCCAGGCCGAGTCCTGGAAGCTCGCGCGGACATTGCAGGAACCAGACTGGTCATTGTTGCTGTTTATCAACATGCTTGGTCCTCGTCCAAGTCTATACAGTCTAACAAAGATGACCGTGCTCAGGTCCTGTCAGTCATGTCCAAGGTTGTCAAGCAGGTGCCTAAGCGTGACTCTCTTATTGTGGCAGGAGACTTTAACACTTCCTTGCGACCGAGCCCTCCCTTGGTGGGCACGCACGTGAAGCCTCCCACGGATGATCGCCCAGATGAATCCCACCTGTCTGATCTGTTGCTGAGGTTGCGCCTGGTTGCCCTTAACACCTGGCACTGCGACCACTTCGTTCAAGGTGGCGTGGAATCACAAATCGACTTTGTCCTTACTAAGGAATCTACGGCAGGAGGCAAGGCCAAGCGATCTGCTCCCTGGACGGACTGCCCGCTGGGAAGCTGGAAGAAAGGCGGACACTACCCGATTAAAGCTGACATCCCCCTCCAGCATCACTGGTTGCTCCCACCTCATAAGGGCAGCATGCGTCGCTATGATTCCTTAGCTCTTCAGGCATCAGTCAGAGAGGACGATGACACAGCCAAGGCACTGCATAGTTGGATAGCCTCCAGAATAGAGTCCTGCCAAGACCCCACGGATTGGAATGCACTGCTGCTTGAAGGCGCGGAACGATTTTTCCCCAAAATCCCAAAAGCTAGACAGATCCCGCTAGAGTCAGAGACTCGTCGTATGTGGAGGGCCAGGACCTCCCACAGGGTCGACAATACAGCTCCCTCAGCACAGCTGATCGAGTCCAACCAAGCAATGGCACAGCCTCCTAGGTCAAACACGATACCTCAGCCGCAAACCGAGGCAGAGCTGGCGCAGATAGCACACAGACAAGCTGTGAAGCAAGCCAAGAAAGAAAGAATAGCGAGCTTCATAGCGGAGGTCGATGCGAGCATAGCAGAAGGTGACCAACATATCTCGTTTCAGACCCTTAAAAAGCTGCCTCCTTGGCAGCCAGCGCGTCGAGCTCAGCTCAAGGACGCCACAGGACATCTCCTGGGTCCAGCGCAGGAGCTTGCTACACTCAGGGAATACGCGAATCAGGTATTTGCGGCTCACCCACCATTAAGACCTTTGACAGGAGCTTTTCCAGTCTTGGAGCCATCCAAATTAGCCGCTCACATTCAAACAATCAAGCCCAACAAAGCAGTGCCAGAGGGCGCCGCACCTGCGGCTGTATGGAGACTTTGCAGTGATGTTGTCGCTCCAGTTCTTTCCCGACACGTCGCGGCTAAACAGACAGAGGACAGTCTTGAATCAGACCTCATTGACGCAGATCTGTGCCTCATCCCCAAACCGGGCAAACCATCAGACAAGCCAGCAAACCTGAGACCACTGGGTATCTTGCGACCGGATGCTAAAGGACTGGCTGGGGCGGCCAGGGAGGCGCTCCAACCCCTGACTCTCTCGTTCCTGAAGCACATGCCACAGTTTGCCTACCTCCCAGGACGTGGGCTATCGGATGCGCTCGAACGCGTCGTGTATCATCTGCGAGAAGCTAGGTCTTTGTTAGAGCAGGCTCACCCCACGAGACATGCTCTCCAGCAAGGCACACAGGTGCCCCCTCTTGTAGGGGGTCTGACCTTTGCTCTAGACCTAAGCCAGGCGTTTGACACAGTCTCTCGCCAAGAGATTATCGGTCTCCTTCAGAGAGAGGGAGCCGATCAGGACACAGTCCACCTAGTTCAAGCTCTGCATGACGGATCCAAATATGTCCTGCATGCCCAAGGTGACTCCACCTCAGTCGAAACAACAGCAGGCATTAAACAAGGATGTAAGCTCGCTCCCACCCTATTCTCTTTCCTCACAGGTGACCTCTTCCGATCACTGGTGGACCTGTTTGGCGCTGAACAGGTTCTGAAGTTTTTGACGGGCTACGCTGATGATCTGACGCTTCATAGGACTATTCGTTCTGAAAAGGACCTCAAGGCCATCCATGCACTGATAGCTGCCCTGTTGGAGGAGGTCCTCAGGGTCAACATCGGCAAGTGCGTCATTCTGGTGAAGCTGGCAGGTAGGGAAGCACAAAATGTGACGAACAAACACAGCTGCTGGATTACAAACCCCAAAGGAGAGCAAGTCAGAGGGTGGCGCATCGGCCCCAACAAGTCGTTCCCTGCCTTCCAGTGGGTCTCCTCTAGCAAGTACTTAGGAGTTATGATCTCCTACAACCACTTCGAGTTGCAGACTTTGCACTTTCGGATAGGGGAGGCGAAGCAAAAGCTGCATCAAGTTCGCCAATTCGTCTATAACCGCAGACACGCAAGCACCATGTCGCGCCTGAAGGTGTGGCAGAGTACCGTCTTGAGCACCTTGACGACCGGCTTATCAGACGTAGGTCTAAGCGAAGAATCGGCCAAACAGCTTCGCAGCTGGCACGCCTACAAGGTACGATCAGTGCTGAACTTACCGGCTCACACTACACGTATCACCACCAAGGATCTTTTCCAGCTCTACAGCATCCAGGTCCAGGACCCTGTCCAAGCGCTGCAGTCTAAGCTTCAGAAACGACTTCGTAAACTAGAGCGACGATCAGTGCGAAGCCCGGACATCACGACAGACCCCTCAGCCCTGCAAGTTATCCGCGACAAGCTGTCCTTCCTGTCAAGTCTCCCTGAACCAGCGGATCACCCGGTCACCTCGTATGATTGCACGCTTTGCGATGCCTCCTTTGAGACGTCAAATGGACTACACTTGCATAAGTCGAGGGTTCATCCGGCCAGTATCGATCGCTTTGTGCCTTCAAGCTTCGATAGAAAACTCCACGCAGTAGATGGGATGCCGCAATGCGCAGCATGCAAGCGCAAATTCCATCAATGGAAAGGCCTACGGGACCACTTGTTGTCGGGAGCATGTCCAGAGCCTCAGAAGCTTCGTTCATTAAACGAGTCTGACACACAGTCCAGTCATCCGGAGATCAAGACACTCTCACAGCTGCGACAGGACATAGCTCTGCTCCCACAACACCGCATTGCGGAGCTCTCGAGGACTGTGGACGCTAAGGTTCTCAACCATAGATGCCTAACGTGTGATTTTTGGACTTTTGACCACACAAAAGTCAAATCACATTTTCGACAGGCGCATCCGAAGGACTTGTCACGACTGCACAAGCGAGCCGTCCATATCTGTCAGGGCTACTCGCCACAGCTCGCCAAAGGCCACCCATGCTCCTTTTGCGGCTACAAGGTCTATGACCGTAGACTACACCCGGAGCAATGCCCAGTGCTCTATCAGGTCAGCACGCAGTGGCTGCGAGGACAACCTGAAACAGAAGCTGATCCTGCTGTCCCGCCCCCTAGGCCTCAAACAAAGTCGCTGGCCCACTTTTTTCGACCTAGGGAGAATGGCACAGCCTCAAACTCGTCGAGCACAGCTCGTCATCCTACCATAGACTCGAATCCAAAGCCGGAGTGCCAAGTTCCTAGGAACACAGAGCCACAGCCCGCGGGCACGCATAAACGGGCCTTGACTAACACGTCAAACTCCTGCTACGCTAATGCTCTCTTCCAGGCCCTGCATCAGATCTCGAGCTTTGGGTACG